CAATGGTAATAGACTTGAACCTATTCACCTGTATCACTTGTTCTTTAGTTGAAAGGGACTTAAGCAACTTTTAGGCAAAAAGGATATCAGGATCCACAGAACAGACAGACGCCAAGGTCCCTTGCAGGCAGGAGTGCTCAGGCAGACAACCTGAAGGTGCCCCAGTTATCTACAAAGGAAGACTGGTTAGTGAGTGGGAACACTGGTTGGCAGTGGCCTGCTGCTCTAGGCAAGTTCAGGTCTGCGCACAGGCCGTTCCTAAGCCATCCCGCCCTGCGGTAGTAAAAGTTAAAGCAGTCGCTTCCTTTAGGATGCAGCACAACCCAAGATCCAGGGAGAGTCCCTAAGGTCCCCAATCCTCTCACCCGACACACCTAGGTTCCCAAGCCCTCAGTGTGAACACTCTGTACTCTCCAAACCAGGTAAGGGAAAACAAGAAAAGATTTAACTATGCCTAACTGTTACATATTTAAAATACACATAATAGGGATTCAGACTATTGATTCAGGAGCTAGCTTGTTCACCGTCACCAAACTTAAAAAGCATACAAAATCAACACCCTTTCGAATAAATTGTATATTCTGAGCTACATAATAAAACACTTGCATCTGACCTTAACACATGGGAGAACTGGGAAGAAAATAAGAAAACGTTTTAAAAGATGAACACATTTCACCACCTCCTCCCCTGATCAACTGAATAACATGGTAATCTTGCCAAACATTTCTGAAATTTAACCCAAAAAACACCTGAAGAAGAGGTTACCTATCTGAAAAAACTGGGGCAAATCATAAAAAAACAAACAAAAAACCATGGTCCATCCATGATAAATTATAGGGTTGGCAGCTATTAAGAAAACATTTAAATATTAAACAGTCTTCCTTTTTAGTCTCATGCATTTAGTCAAAGTAGGTATTTTTATTTCCCAACCTCTCATTTGTCAAAGATCATAGAAACTATGAAGCTGAAGAATAAGCACTTTAAATAAGAATTCATACTCCAAGGAAGTAAGAATCTTTCAACTTTTATTTCTAGGATACATTCATCTGGAACCTTTTTGTTTCTTTACAATTTTCCCCCTAAGATAAATGAATACAATAAAAATATAATCCAACTACCAGCAATGTTTGTAACCAGAAAAGACTCTAAAATCTCTGGTGTGATAATATAGGATTTTTTTAAAAATATAAACTTCATACCAGAAATAAAGCCTGAATATTCTCTTTTCTTTAAAAATATAATTTTCCTTCTTTGTTCTTCCATGAAAATCTTATAATCACCATTTAGTTCTAAAGTCTACTTCTAAACTAATAATTATAATGCTATAGCATTGTTGTTGTTTTTTCCTACTTTGTATCCTGTTCTGTGAAGCAACTAATTGCAGTATTTAAAAAAAAGAGAGATACCACTAGGTTGTAGCAAGATTCTTCAAGATGTAATGATCATTAAAAAAAAATAATCCCCATTAGCAAATTGAAGCCTACTTAACAAATTGCATTGTACAAAAAAGCACTTTTGCAAACTGTAAAGCTCTAATGGGAAACATTTTTTAAAATCTAATTTAGACTAGAAAGGTGGCTGAGAAAGAATGTCAGGAACAGAAGGCTGTGAAATCTTGTTCTTTCTGTAACTATTTAGATTTGGGGAGGGGGAGATGATAAACTGCAAAGAAGCTGGGGGTACGGGCACGTGGCTATCCCGCAAAGACTGGTTTGCACTTATATGTGACTATTTTTCTTAATTGAGAATCAAGACCAAGGAGCACAGGAGTAGCCCCAACGCTTTATACCAGACTGAGAAGTCGGGCCATCCATCTCCAACTAGGAACAAGAAACAAGAGAAGTTAGTGTTTACTGCACTTCTGAGTAGCTCCTCTATACAGTTTCATTACCTGAAGTATAATCCATCTTAAAAAAGTATTCCACAGTCAAACTTAAATGGTCTGGGAATGGTTTCTTTAGGTAAGATAATCAAAAAGTCTACTTATAATCATAAGTACAACTACTGAACCAGAGTGCCACTCTCCTACGTCTAAAACAATAGCATTATCCAGAACAACTTTTTAGGGTATTTTGCAGAATATAGGAAGCTAAGCAAAGGATGAAAAAGTTTGGTAACAATAACAATCCCAATGAGGGCTTCGTTTGCTAGAATGCAAAATGGACATGAGAAACTTCTTTCCATGAGCCCCCATAATGAAACTAGATAGGCCTATAAAGACAGACGCAGCAGTGAAGGGCTGCAGACACTTGGTCATCTGTAACTAAACAGGTGACTAAAAGAAAGTATCCTCAGTTGTGTACAGGATGAGTGAATGGACAAGAGGGAATGGGTCTAGGCTGCTGCATAAAAAGGCTTTGCTGACCGAGTTGAGCGAGTCAAGACACAATGGAAGAGGCTGTGGAGCCTCCTTTCCTAGTTTCTGAATGACCTCGCAGCGCCCTCTGGCAGCGGACCTAGCTTAGCACAGGGAACGGGCTGCATGGCCTCAGCACTTCTCTTCCGGCCAGCCCTCTGATTCACTTACTCCTTCCTTTAGTGCTGTCTTTCCCCAAGAGAATATTCAGGCCCATTTTGTTTTTCTTTTTTTTCTGCATTTAGTAAGAATTATAAACTAGCAATTTAGAATACCCCTCTCGCTGAGTATCTTACGTTATAGTATATGATACCACCTTGAGTAATAAGAACGTAGAACTTAAATGTCATTTACATGAGTCAAACAAGCCCACGTCATACTTCGATGATTCCACATTAATAAAACTTAGCTATGATATGTAAAAACTATTTTTTGCCAAGGTTTTAACTACTGGACTTTAAACCAATTTTAATATTCCATGTAAAGTTCATTTATATTGCAGTAACATGCCTTCATGTTTTCTACATACAACAAAGTAAGATTTTTTTTTAATATACATATATTTTTAAACCAATTCACTCCCTTTTACAATCATACCTTCAGTCCAACATTTAAAATATAAACCCAAACTGTCAACGAAAACAACAGTGGACCAAGTGATAGCATCATTTAAATGAAACAATAATGCAAGGAAAGGTCAGCATTAAAACTCAGAAAATAAACATAAACCGATTCATTGGAAAATTGCTTCTATGCCTGATGTGTTCAAAAATGAACCTATTACAAAACAGATCCCACTGTGCTAGCAGACAGCTCACTCCTTTCTCATTTCCTCATTCCATGAAGCATGTCTCACTGTTTTTTACTGAGGTTTATACAGCGATTAGTTATCCTAACAGCAGAGATTAATATTAAATACACAGCCTCGTCCAGAACTGGCATATGCTCCCAACAACTGTTTGGTGTGCTCCCTGAATTATAGAACAGTCCAATCTTTCGGAGCATAAAAATGAAAGAGCTTAAATCTACATTTGTAAATCTACATATACATTGCGCATTAAATGTGACTAAATTAAGACAGTCAGGTGGAAAAGAGGAATAGGAGGGTACAGTAAATTTTCTTTAAACAATCCCATTATATTAGACAGTACTGTCAATGATATAATTTAACCAGATTACGAAAAAAATTATCAGAATCGGTACCAATTTCTTGGAGATGCTAACAAAACATTAAATATACATGTTTATTTGAAGAATCTTTGGTAGCAATTGTGTTTCTTCCACATTATAGGACTTTTCAAAATAAATGTCAAAATTAATTTACTAATCAGCATATGAAAGATATATTATGATACTATTCTTTTGGTTTTCCCATAAAATGTACTTGAATCTATTAATTTGTACTCATCATGCACTTAAACACAGTATCTGTTTAGCTCATGTACATATAAAATGAGACTAATACCAGAAAGAAATTAGACAGTAATGAGAATCAATGACAAAACATAACGATAACAACTGTTCTTAAGAAATTTATTTTTAAATTATAAGATTACAATGCTTTGATTATGCAAAATAGCATAATGGAAATTAAACCAAATTAATAAACCAAGAGAGAAAGAAAACTTAGTTTCCTTGAGTATCAGTACTTAAACCATCATTATAAGTATCTGATGTCCCAATCACATCTTATGTAGACATAAGGATAATCATTTCAAACGTTTCACTTGTGGGTTTAGTTTCTCATTTTCGACTTTTATGAACTGTAATATAATTTATTTCAAATCCTATTACACTTAGTGTTTATACTGCAACAGCAGCAAACCTCACATGTGCAATCAAATGTGAAACCAGGGCACAGCTTTAGCTTTTAGCCGCAGACAAAAATTATACGCAATCAGTACAGTAGAGTACGTTTATATTAACCAGAGCGTAGAGTTTAGTACACTTATTGCAGGATTGGTATTTCTTTCCCTTTGAACTGAACCAGCTGAGCTTGAACTGACATTACTGCTGTGGGTAGTAGGGCTGCTGTGGGGGCTGAGGAAAGGGGTAGGAAGGCTGCTGGGGTCCTGGATACGGAGGCTGTCCAGGGCTCTGGTGGTACACTGGCGAGAATGGCATGTTATACTGGCCGTATGCATAAGGATTATAGGCCATGGGCAAGGGCATTTGGCAGTACCTGAGGGAAAGAAGAAAACAAAAGAACTGGATTGGTAAATCAAATACTGAAAAAATGAAACATATAACAATTATTCTAGCACCAAGTTTTTTCAAGACAGCCATTTTTCTCTCTTGCTCAGTCTATTAGGGACCAAGTAAAGAGAAAAATAGCTATGTCAAGGTACTTGTTAGAGAAAAATGTTCCTATCCTGTTATTAATTGAAGTTAAAGAATATCAAGTTCACTGTAATGAGCACAAATTTATTGTTTATAAATTTCTAATATTGGGAAGACAGAATGTACAATGTAAAGTTTGTAGCACATCTTAAAAAGTAGTCAAATGTCTTGATTTTTAAGATTGACAAATTATCACAAAGAAAGCTGATCTTTAAAAAAGCACATTCCATAATTAGATAGATTTCTGTTCAACTTTTATAAGAATGTCAAACTTCAAAGTACAGGTACAAATTAGGTTGTTGGAAAAGTCATGACGCATTTTTGCAACAAAAAAACATAGAAAAATATGTCATGACTTTTCCGACAACCCAATAAATAAGGGCTTAGCAGTCTTGCTATGCTAAGCTCAGAAAAGGCACCTATTTATCACCTAAATAAACAAGACCAAGAAAAGACATTCTGAATTCCATACAGAAGAGATGCATTTAATATAAACCCAATATGTAAACACTAAAACCATAAATTGTTTAAATAAGCTTGGGAAATGGCTATCCAACTACTCAAATAAGGGACTATGCCATTATTTTTATTTCTGTATGAGCTGACAGTATAGCTTAATTCATTCATGACGCTGCCACTGAAGGGATGACTGTTTTAAAAGGCTAACCAGAGCTAGAAACATTAGCCAAGTCACTGGGATATACAAACGTTCGGCCTTACCCGGGATATCCTGGATAGGTGGGGTAGGGGGGTCCCTGGGCCTGTGGAAGAGGAGCTGAACCCGGAGTTGGTGCAGCGGTGCCAGCACCCGCTGGAGCTGGAGCTGTAGCAGAAGGGGCTCGATTTGCTGGAAGCACAGGAGGTGGGGGCCGGGCTGGAGGCTGGGGCTTAACAGGCTGTAAGAAAATGGCAGAATTGGCTACAAAATATTTCACATTTCTCTCAAATTGTTATTAAAATAAATGAGGGCATCTGAGAAACTCTAGACTCCAACCAGATATATTTCTAATTCCCATTCTTAAATGCTGGCTTATTACTCTAGAAATGCATCACAGCTGAGGAATACTCCTCTACTTTGTGATACTCCACAGCCACTGCTCCTGATGCCTAATATGCTCATCTCTTACTGCTCACTGCGGCTCCCTCCAATGGTCAGACATCTGATGTGGGAGCAAGGAGATCAGGTACAGTTTATGACTGTAATCTCCTCCTGGTCCCAACATGGTTTATATGAAAATTTTCCAACACCAGAAAACTTAAAAGAATAGTATAATAAACAATCACATATTGACCAATTAAATTCAGTAATTATTAACATTTGGCCATATTTGCTTTATCTATAGTTATGCCCATGTATTTTTCTACCTATACATCTGCAGAATCTGGAAGTTGCAAACTTCATGATACCAGCCCTAAAGACTTCAGCACGTACGTCCTTTCTCCCACATAATCACAATACCATTTCGCCCTAAGAAAATTAACAATTATTCCCTAATATCATCAAGTAACCATTTCACATTCAAGTTTCCCTATCTATCACAAAAAAAAGCTCTTAAAGGTCTTTACGAACCCAGATCCAATGAAGGTTCATGTATTACGTTTGATTATTATGAACCTTTCCTCTCTTTAAATCTAGAATATGCCCTCCACCTGTGTTTTTCTTTCTATGACATTCACTTTTAGAAAAGACCAAGCCAGGTGTCTCACAGAATGTCCCACTTCTAGATTTGTCCAATTGTTTCCTCATGGCACCATTTAAATTTTGTTTTACCACTATATTTGCTATAAACTGAAAGCTGGTTCTAAAGACTTGATTAGATTTTCAGCAAGAATTCATGAGTGATGCTGGATTCTTCATATTGCAAAACATCAGAAGGCTGGTCCACCTGATAAAAAGTGGTGAGACCAGATTTCTCCAATGTCAAGTCTGTTTTATCCTTTATAGCAAGCAAGTTGTCACTAATATAAAACTTCCATTTTAGAAATGTGTTTGCTTACTGACCGTCACAGTTCTTGGTGCTGGAGTTGGAGGGGTGGGAGCCTGTCCCCCTGCTGGAGAGGACTGATATGCAGGTGTAGGAATTGAAGGAGCACTGGGTTCTCTGGCAATGCTTTGTTGCAAGTCCCTTATTAAAGCAAAAGTGTTAGAAATTAACACACACACACACAAAAAAAAACAACACATAAAAAAACCAGGGTTTTTCCTTACTTTTCTTTATGCATGAAACACAGAAAACAGAATCAAAACGATGGTATTTTAAAATATGCTACATTTCTTGACTAGAATTGGCTTAAATCTTCTTTCTCCCTATTATTTAATAAAATGAAGTTAGTTCTTATTCTACTTCTGAAGAGCAGGAAAGAAAGTAAACTTTTTTAGAGATCACAGTTACTGCTAGAGTAAGGGACATGTCAAACTCCCCAAGTGTTCCTAAAAGACAGCCCACTCTTAAAGAGGTCATCCCCTAGATTAGGAATTCCTAACATAATACCCAACTAGAAGTTATCAGGAAACTACAACTGCTCATAGTCACCCAGCTAATATTTTAATCACTGTATTATATCAGTGTTAATAGAAAAGCAAAACAACAGGTGAGAAAGCTAACCTACTACTCAAACCGTTTTGTAAATTTCTTAATGAAAACTTTCTAAAGATATTCCCAAAAATGTGGCACTGAGATATTTCATGTTAAGATTCCTCAAAATCTACTGCAATTAAAATACAGTATTAGAAAACAGAAAAATAATTTTTTTTTAAAAAACAAAAATATTTTAGAATCCCCCCAACAGTAAACTGAAATCCATTCCAAAATCTCACTAAACAAAACAGAAGTGCTGTAAATGGAAAATACACACCAGATTTCTAAGATTTAGTGCGGGGGGGTAGAGTAAAATACCTCCTTCATAATCTTTGCATTGATTATGTGTTGAAATGATACTATTTTGGATATATGTATCTATAGATATATAGATATATATCTATATATCTATATATCCATCCAAACTAGTTTAAACAAAATACATTACTGAAACTTATTTCACCTGTTTCTTTCAGCTTTTTTAATGAGGCTACTAAGAATTTCAAATTCTAAATTGTATACTTCACTGCATTGTATTTCGCTATAAGATATAACTTTATTTATTTCACCAGTCCTAGACACTTGATTTGTTTCTCTTCTTTTACGGCTACCAACAATATTGGACAGTTGTGTTTTAGAGCATTCATACCCACACTACTTACAATATAATAGCCCCAAATGAAAAACTAACTACTCAAATAGTAACACTACAGATAAACAAACTTGTAGTATATTCACACAATGAAATGTACACTGAAACGAAAATAAAAGATCTACAACTACACAGAACTAAACAGATAAATCTCACAAATACTGACTAGGTGGATGCATGAGCTATGCTTCTGGAGTGCCTAGAATGTTCTGTGTGCTAATGTAAGTGCTCAATGCATGGGTGTACTCAGTTTGTGAACATTCAACAAGATATACACTTATGTATACTTTTTTGTGTGTTTTTATTTTATATTGAATAAAAATGTTTTAAAGAATTAAGGCCCTGAATATTAACAGTGATTTTAACAAAATAAACCCTTAGATTTTTAAAAGCTAATATTATGCCTATTTGGCCTACTTTTCCATCATTCATTCACCTTTCAATCACTGAGCCGAAACGACTAAACAAGTTTATGACTGTCTCAGAACTGATTTTGTTTACAGTATAAATATAGAAATACACACGCAAATAATAACAAGCCTAATTTTCAAACCAGAGACTTGAAATATGAAATATTTGAAAAGGAGAATATCCAAAATTTCCTTCCTAAGCCATGAACTTCCATTATGCTATAAAATTCTACAAATAGTGATGCTAGCCAATTTTACACTAAAGGTTTAAATGGAGAAACAGTCAAACTAGAAAGTCAATTAAGATTGACAAGAAAAGGATTTAAACCAAGGGTTAGCAAAATTTTTTATGAAGAGCCAGACAATATTTTAGGATTTGCAGGATACAGCATGTGTCTGTCACAACTACTAAATACTAACATTGTTAATGCAAAAACGACCATAGATAATCTGAAAATGAAGAGAGTGGCTGTGTTCCAGTAAACCTGTACTTAAAAAAAAAAAATAATAAGTGGCAGGCTGGGCTTAGCCTGAGTTGCCATAGCTTGCCAACCTCCAATTTAAACTTAGAAATCTTTTTCAGCGCCTTTTCAGCTCTCACTTGGTCCTGAGCTACACAGAATTCAGGGGATCTGAACAGATGTCTCAATGGTTGCTGCTTGAAAGAAGGAAATGAAAGAGGGCAAAAGGTCCCGCTCCAAGCCCCTGACCCTGCTCGGATCTGAGCTAGATCTATTTTTCCTATTTTACAAATTGGGATTCTCTGTAAGATTAGTTTGAACAAAGGTTTCTACAGCTCAAAAATAAATGGGGTGCGAGCTAACAGGCTTCTGAATGTATCGCTGTGGTCCACAGAGAAGGCTGGGGAAGGTAGCAAGGAGATGCTGTATCAGCTACCGCAGCCTTAAAACAAAGCTGGTGTCTCTTTGGACTTTAAAATTGTTCCTATGCAGCTTATTTTATTTTTGTTTAATCAAATAAACAAGAGGGTTTTTCCATGGGAAAATAAAAAAAAAATGGGGAAGGGGGATTGAACACCATCTGAAAAATAAAAATCAAAGTACTTGATTTTGACTATAAGAACATGAAATCCCATTATTTAAATTAAATTATAATTTTCTGAAAAGGTAATATATGTATTCACATGATTCAAAAACTAAAAAGTGAAAGACCCTTATCTGTCAAGTTCCCACTCCACCAATCACTCCCCAATTACTAACTGTTCTTTATTTCTTATGAGCCCATCCAGTTTCCTTATGCATAAATAAACCAATTCAACTGCACATTTTTCTCCCTTTTTACACAAAAAGCATACTTGATAAATTGTTCTCTCCTTTTTTTTTTAATGTTAACTATCTTAGAGATCTTTCCATATCCGTATATAGAAAACATTCTCTCTTTTTAAATAGCTGCAATAGTATTTCACTGAACAGAGGTGGCTTCATTATTTCACCAGCCCTGGACATTTGATTTGTTTTTATTCTTTTATTGCTACAAGCAATGCAGAAATTAATTAGTTCATAAATACGTCATTTTTGTTCTTCTTTCCTGAAGTCTGACACTGCATTTTATCACCTCCTGTTTACTCACCATCTTGTGTTCTGGCATTTCTGTTTTTGGTGTGCCTTAGAGGGGTTGCTTTCTAACCATTTTTGTTTATTGGTTTTGTTTTTGTTTTTTAATTCATTGGTGAAATGTTAGCTCAGAATTTTCATCTGTTCTGTGACAATATTATTCTGGTGAATGTTCTTCATCTATTAAGTTTTGGGGGCGGCCAGTTAGCTCAGTTGGTTAGAGCGCAGTGCTCATAACACCAAAGTTGCTGGTTCAATCCCCACATGGGCCACTGAGATGTGCCCTCCACAACTAGATTCAAACAACTACTTGACTTGGAGCTGATGGGTCCTGGAAAAACACACTGTTCCCCAATAAAATAAAATAAATAAATAAAAGTTTTGTTAAATTTTGTTCACTTTTTCACCTAAATAAAAAAACTAGTATCTTCATATCGATGCTGTCAACTCTGTACTGATTACTCACATGGAATGAGTCGTATATTACTAGCCCAGTTTTCTCAGTAGGCTCCTTCAGAAAGTGATTTTTTGATATTTTCTGAGCTATTCACCCTGTCGTCTTCCCCATGTTCTGCTCCTCTAGTTTATGTAGGGAACCTATTTGAAACTTCAAGGTAAACTGCTTATGTTTATTGGCATTTCCTGAGATCTGCCACCTTGAGCTGTTTTGTTATCCTTTCTGTGACATCACTATACTTCCTACACCTAGAGTTTCTGCTCCTTTTTATCCTTTTGCTCCCATACCATGCAGCTGTTTCCTTGTTGCTTTGTAAAATACCCAAGAGAAAAGGAAGCAAATTGCTAGCTCATACTGCCAAGTTCACCCCAAAAGTCTCCACATGGATTTCTTAAAGAAAAATACTTTCAATATTATTTGATACACAAAACAAACTTACTTTAAGAGTTCATCTCTTTCTGTCTTCCGTGCAAACACTATATCACTGCATTTGTTCTGGAACCTGAGCAGGATTTCCGTCAGCTCATTGTAAAACTATAAGCAAAGAACAAACATAGGTAGGTAATAAATCAGAACAATTTTTTAATCTAAGGAGGAATACAATCTAAAGCTCATTTGTCAATAATGGTTAAAACTAAAGAGCTAAAATCTTCTGCATGAGATACAATCATACCACTTAATTCCAACAACTTAATATTAAATATAATCTAAGATTCCTAAAGAAAATAAAAACAATAAAATCACTTTTAGAGAACACTGTCACCAAAAATTAAATGGCAACAAGGTAAAAGTTTCATGATCATAAACATTTCCCCAATTCCTAGAGAAAAATAAACTATTTAATCAAGACACTAAACCTATTTAATTGGAAGGACTAGATTTGCACATTCACTTCAGAAATGCAGACATCATTCCAAAAACCCTTAGAATTTACCAAGGGTCTCTAGAGAGTTTTCTCAGCTTGTCTATTTCAACAAAGCATTTTAAACCAAATGAAAATGACATTTTACTATCCACTCTATTTTGGAAGGCTTTACAGAGGGCTGTATGTTGTATCTACTGTATTTACTTCAAGATAAATTTATTCAATGATCATTATGGAGTTAAAATACCAAAGGAATGGTGTATCTGAAAAACTTAAAAATCACTTGTTCCCTCATAAGGAAAACAATTGGTAGAAACAAATATAAGCATTTCCCTAAACTTTTTAAAGGAAAGGCAATAAAATACTTAAAACGTATTTAGTAAGCACTCTGAGATTCAGGCAGATTACAAATCAATCGTCATCCAAACCATCAGCACAGAGTATAAAAGCCATACCTACCCACCTTTGCCACCACAGATTAACTTTGACTACTCTGTTTCCTCATAATTCACTCAAATTGGTCAACTTTCCACCCCCACAAAAAAGTATCACTGGCTTTTGATATCTCTGTGCTAATTCCTGCTACATCAAATGCTCACACCCCTTTCTGCCTGGTGAAATATACCATTCAAAGTTCCCATGAAATGTTGCCACCTTCATTAACCTCTTACAACAAACTTCTCAGAGGCAAAATTTAACAAATGAAAGCTAACAAATCCGAGGCAAACAATAATTTGGTCCAACTGGAAAAAACAATTAACTTTCCAAACTTTATTTTACATTTATACTGGTTAGCTCTTTGCGCTTTTGTACATCATACCTTTGTGCCCTCCTTCAAATTAGCTACAAGTTCAACAAAGTTGTCGTAGGCAGTAGCTAAATTCTTCAAAACTTCTTCTCTTAAGTTAGCTTCATTGTTAGATTGTTTCATTTTAGAAAACTCCTGGTGTGAGACCTTGTTAAAAGAAAGATTTACATTTATTTATCAAATTAAAATAGCTCCGTACATTTTTATTGATGTTTTTCTAACTATGAAAATCATATATGATTACATACAGAAATTACTAGAAATTTACCTAATATTTCTTTTGGAGTAGCACAGTGTTTTAAATCTTCCCTTAAGTAAAAATACCACAAATTCAGCATATGTCAAAACATAATTGATAATGACTACGGATTTCTATTAGTATGTAACATTTGTAAAAAAGACAATCCTCAATGAACACAGATTTAGTCCAGGCTTAACCTTTCTGTAATTTTTTTAAAACGTGAATCTTTTACCAAAGTACATAACCTTTACCTGAATATTTTTAAGAAGTCCTTCCTGTTTCTTTAAAGATTCTTGGACTTTAGTTGTAAAACCTCCATAGACGCGATCCAGTTCAGTAACAGAAAGCGCTTCTTCATTTATCACGCCATCTTGAGCCAAAGCCGTCAAAAATTTGCTTGTCATGTCAAAATTCACTGATTTCAGGTCATTCTCCAGACCCTCTCTTTCCTTCTTTACTTCATCAAGATTTGTCAATAAGGATTTTAAGACATTTACAACCTAAACAACAACAAAAACCCTTAATTGCCAAAAAAGCCCCAGAAGCCTATTTCTAGGAATTATATACAAAGGCTCATCATCCAGAGTCAGGAAAAGATGATTTCTCAGAGAGCCAGGTATAAATTGTGCATCAGGTTTATTTAAATATTAGACATTGTAGCTTTGGTGAACTCGGATTATAACAGCAACAGCTATAATAACACTAGCCAAGAGCTATAATTTACTGAACACTTATTATGGGCCAGGCACTGTCCTAAACACTGTGAACATAGGGAGTAACTAGAATACAGTACCCAGCTCACAGAAGACATTCAATAAATAGAAATCATTACTACAGGATAGCAATAGCATTAGTATAATTACACATTACTCCATGTATATATCATGCTACTGTAAATATAACAACCTCAATTCACATCTGCATTTTTAAAAAGATGCCAGTAAGAAAGAAATCAGCAATCCGTTATATATAATGACTTGACCATAGCTTTCACAAACAGATGACAGACCACATGGAAATGCATCTTCTCACCTCGCTGCCCTGCATGGTTTTTGCTGGGTTAGCGGAAGGGATGGCAGCATTCAGCTCGGGTTCTGGCTTACACAGGAGTGCAATGGTGTCACGGTGAGACTGGTAACGTTCTTTCACTTGTCCATCTGCCAGCACAGCTTTGTCCAGAACTGCTCTGAAGTTGGTTCCCTCTGTGCAAAAAAAGAACGTTATCAGAGGACAGCGTTGATGTTAGCAGTAATCTTTATGGGCTGATTGTGCTTTTACTTCTGTTCTCCTTCTACAGACCCCAATTTTTTGTCCTTAATATCAGCATTTTGAAGCTCCTCTCTTAGGAGGCTTCTTACCGTTCTTCTCCTTCTACAGGCCCCAATTCACTAGATAATAGAAACTCAGCTCTTGTCAGTCTTTGCATTTTTGTTTTTGAAAAACCAACTATAAAGCAAAAGCACAGTTATACCTTAAAATACAATTGTGGTTACTGTCCACCAAATAAAAGCTAATTGACAGTCATCTAATCTTTTCCTACAACTCATGAAGAATAATATTCAAAGAAATCATTCACCCCAAAAATTGTTACTTATTTTAAAAGTATTCCTCTCTCAAAGGATTACTGCTTCAACTTTACTTAAAATAACAGCATATATATTTTTAGAAAAACTCAATAGTATTAATTCCTTTTACAGAGATAAATAAAACAAGCTACCATGAAGACATCATTTACCTTAACAAGCACAAAATCTTAATCAAAGCTTTAAAAATAATAATCTGGCTTCAAATTAACTGTTGAAATTCAACTTATACCACCCAGGATTCACTACTAAGCGAAATGAAATTACAAAACCATACATACAACATGATCTCACTTATGTTTTTAAAATATGCACAGGGCTTGGAACAGGACATTCTAGGATCATTTTAATTTTCACTCTATTCCCTTCCTAAGAATCTGAACTTCTTATAATGAACATGGATTACCTTTGTTATTTTTTTATCTTGCACTGGACTGAGGAAAAACACCAGATTTTTCTAATAACACAGTAGCAGTAAAATCGGATTTAAAATTGAGCCTAATTTAATCAAGCAAAAATGTGGATCCAAATTGAGGCTTTATTCATGTGAAAGTCATTTATGCACATTTTTACCTGCTCTTAAAGGCTTGTAGAGGTCATTGGATGGTGTCCTTTGCCAGCGTTCCTTGAATTTTGCTCTTAAATCATTGTCAGTTGCTTCTTCTTCATCCAGCAACCTTAATGACTTAACGAGGAAGCAAAGCAACAATGAGCTACTTCTGCTGTAAAACTTTTAAACATTTTTAAAATGATCATACTCAAAACAGGTGAGAATTAATGAGATGGGAATACTCTTACTGGTTAGAATATAAATTGGTACAATTTTTGTTGCAGAAATCCATGTTACAATGTATATAACAAAAAAATTTGTAAAATTTAAGGCTAGGTTAGCCATTTCTTTACTCAATAAAGTTAAAAAAGAATAATAATTAAGAGATTATGTACATCCATATGTAAGACTACTTTAAACACAGGTTTATTTTTAAGATAAAAATAAGTACAGAGCCTGTGGACCTTAGAAGCCATAAACTAAGGGAAAACTGACTAATTTAACTACATGAAAATAAAAGATCTGGACTTCTATCCAATACAACTGAAAAGTAACATATAAAAATGCCTTTTCTACCAGTAAAGCCAAGTGCTAGAGTCAGTGGTATCTAGTTTAGAGCAGGTCTATAAACTTGGTGAAACACTCGGCTTTGTGGGCCATAGTCTCTGTCACATAATCTTCTTTTCCTTTTTTTACAAACCTCTAAAAATGGTAAAAATCATCCTTCGCTAGTGAACCATATAAAAATAGGCCACAAGCCAGAAATGGCCCACTGTCCTTAGTTCACCAGCCCTGTAGATCACTACTGGCTTGGAGTGTAAATTTATCACAACAGGAGTAGGGGACAAGAAACACAGGTGGGGCTGGTAAGAGTAGGAGATGAGATCAAAGACACAGTCCTCACTCACACTGGGACACTTTCAAATGGGTGACACTCAGTGGATGAATTTTTAAAAGGAAAACTGCCAAACAGAAGGAAACTTACCTGTCTGAACCTTGGCTCTAAATAGAAAAGTATCACCTAAGATTCCTAATCAAAAGCCTGAATGTAGGACTGGAAATCATACTACCTGTGTGACACAAAATCCTAAAATGAACTGACTAATAAAAGAGTAACCACAAAAGAAAAAAAAACAAAAAACTTCAAGTTTAAAGAGGTGTCAGGTATATAATGCCTTTTCATACCAGAAGCAAACAAAAAATCTCTCTCAAAGAATTCACTTTAAACTCAGACCTCAAAGAGTTTCCACAAATACAGTTCCAGGAAATGTGAACCCACAATAAAAAATAAAAAAACCAAACCATTGAACACTAAATGCAATGCACTATTCTGGGCTGGATCTTGAAACAGAGTAAGGCCATTAATAAAGTAACTGGTAAAATAGGAGTAACAATATTGTACCAATGTTTATATCTTCATTTTAACAAATATACGATGGCTACATAAAGCTTTAACTCTTAGGGAAGCTGAGTAAAGAAACTCTATGCTAAATTTACAACTTTTCTGTAAATCTAAAAGTATTCCAAATTTAAAGTTTCCTGGAAAGGAAGAAGTAAAATCACCTCTACTTGTGGATGACATGACCTTATCTACAGAAAATTCTATGGAATCCACAAAATAACTATTAGCAATAATAAATGAATTCAGTAAAGTTGCAGAATACATAATCAACATACAAAAATCAGTTATTTTTATATTCCAGCAATGAACAATCCAAAAAGAAAATTTGAAAACAATTCCATTTATAATAGCATCAAAAAGAATAAAATACTTAGGATAAATTTAACCAAGGAGGTACAAGACTTGTACACTGAAAATTGAAAAATACTGTTGAAAGAAATTAAAGACCTCAATAAATGGAACAACATCCCATGTACACGAACTGGACAATTTAATATTGTTAAGATCAGCAATACTCCCCAAGTTGATCTGAACATTCAACGCAATCCCTATCAAACTTCTAACTTTAGTATTTTTTATATATAAAGTCAAATCAGAACCACAATGAGATACCACTTCATAGGCACATGAACGACTATAATTAAAAAAAAATAAAATTATAAGGGTTGGCGAAAATGGGGAGAAACTGCACCCTTCATAGTCTGCTGGTAAGAAATAAAAATGTTACAGCTGCTCTGGAAAAGTTTGGCTGTTTCTCAAAAAGTTCAACATAGAATTCCCGTATGACCTGGAAACTCCACTCCTATGTATATACCCAAGAAAAATAAAAACAAGTGCTCAAACAAAACTTGTACACAAACAGCAGCATTATTCAGAATAATCAAAAAGTGAAAACACCCCAAATATCTATCACTGATGAATAAACAAAATGTGGTATATGCCCAATAGGTACCAAGCAGGATAAACGTATTATTTAAAAAATAAATTAGTGAATACCTCAAAACTTCTGAAAAAAATTCTAGATTTTCTAAACTACAGAATTTAAATTTCTACAACCTACCAGAGAGATGAACACTCAAAAAGAGTACCAGCTTCACAACCTGCTTAGTTCACAACTTACTTAAAATGAGACGCTCCAAGTACAACTGACAGGACAGTGACTAACTCACAGGCTGCTTTAGGAACAACAAATAATATAAATAAAAACTCATATTGAGATGGGCAGAAACAGGCATATTCACACTAGTGATGCCAGTTTTTCCTTCATTGTAAGATGAGCTTTTTTCACATTAGTATTTCTAATGAAGATGTGCCTCAGCATTTCATTAGGCAATGTTCTTTTTCCATAAAACTTGTTGCAAAATCAAATAAGCATCTTCCAATCAATCACATCTTAAAATCAAGGAAATACAGTAATATTTAATACCTAAATAATTAACAACTAATGGGCACATGTATGATCCCACATCACAACCATCTTATGTGCTAAATACTATTATCCCCATTTTTTTGTATGAGTAAACTGAGACATGAAGATGTTAAGTAATTTGCCCAGGGTCACAATTAGGAGTAAGAACTGGGAATCAAGTCCAAATATAACTCCACACTCTGAGACCTGAACAATTGAATTATGTGTAAACTACAAAATATTAAGTAATGGCTTATTATAACTTCTACTCCATCTGCTTTCCATTTAACTTGCTATGCCTGCATTTTCCAGTGTCTTCTCCCTTGCTGCTTTCACTTAGGTACCATCTTGAACAGCACTCTCCACTTTTTGCTCCCTAGGTCTATCTACTATTCTAATGTCCTTTGTACCCAGATAACAAGTTTGTTTGACCCACAAACCAACAAATTTTAAAGGACTGTAAGGTATCCTCATAAATAAAGTCTATGACCTTCAGAGCAGGGTTTGTCAAATTCTAACATACACACAAATCATCCTGGGATCTTGTTAAATGCAAATCCTGACTCAGTAGGTCCAGGTGGGGTCTGAGATTCTGCATTTCGGAGAAGCTCAGCTGAGGAAGGCTTTGGTGCTGAGATATGTAACACCAATTCTGTTTGCTTTAGTTTTTCTGATTACTAACTACATCTACGTAGGTAAGCTGGCATGTTGACTGTATAAGTAATGTAGAATCCCTCATAAATCAAGATTTCCCAGGGCAATAATGCAATAAGTTTCTATTTCAGTTCCCTAACCTTTTTCAACAGCTGATTTGCATTGAAAGGTGAATAACTACCACTACCATCACCACCATCGTATCAATTAATAATAACTGCAATATTATCATCACCACAGTAATATCACAGCAATAGTAATAATAGCTATAATTATTAAGCACATATTGTGTGTCCCATAAGCTAAGCATTTCACTGTTTTAGTTTAGCTCATCCTTTAAATAACCCTAGGAGATAAATATTCTCATCCCCAAGGTTCACACCATCATAAGTACTTAAGTACTCTGCCCCTGCCCCAAAGTACTTAGAAATGATGTAAATACAATATCCTCTGAAAGTTACCTGAAAACTCAAAACAGCAAAAGTGAAAGCATTGATAACACAAGTCACCTAAGAGAGACGTGACTCCTAAACTGGCAAAAGCCAATGTAACCAGCTTGAATATAGTTACAGCTAAAGAAAGAAATGTATCAATTAGGGGGAAGAGTTGAAGGCACAGTAAAAGGAGAGTAACACTGGCAAACGGTTGGCTTCAGCCAAAAACCTTTAGTGTTCCATTCATATTGGTAAGATGCCCTCTCTGCTGGAAGATTGATGCAGTGGGCTTATGAAACATTTGATGGCCTAACTTCCTGTGCTTGATTCCATGCTCACCGAGAAACCAAATATTTAATGTAAAAGAAATCATTAATTATGAAGACTCTGAACAGTTTGTGTGATCGTAATTTCTCACAGGATACTAGTATTGGACAATGGTCCCATGAGTTCCATTTGTGTGCATTTACATACCCCTTGTAGACATGTACGAACCCATTCTCACTCAATCGAAATTCTCCTTGAGGGGATGAAGGCCAGGCTCTGGGCCACAGGGAATTCGCCAAGATGATGAGTACCACCCTATGAAACCCACAGGAGGAAGGTTCCAGTCCTAATTCCCACTAACACCAAGGGTCAAAATGGTTTTACTTGAAAAGCAAACCTCTTAAAACATACCTCATCTAGGATTTCTCTATTTCTTTGTAGTAGTTCAGGTAGTTCTTTGATCAACTGATCAACTGTCTGGATGCCTCCCTGTTTAATCACAGATGAGGACTTAGTCAATATAGACTTAGGTACGGTATCTCCAGATACATCTTCAATTGCTGCTGGAAGGTTAAGGGAAGCTAACACCCTGAAAAAATGAAACATGTGTCATCTGGAGGTCTAAATCACCTTTAAAACATTAATCTCCTATATCAAAATCAATAGCAATGGAGTTAGCACCCCAAAAGTGGATAAGCCTTATCAATAGAGAAACAAGGCGAAACAAAAAAATCAGTGATTGATAAAATTAAAATCATTAAAGAACTAAGTTTACAGTTCAGAATTAAAAGCCAAAATGTGATAAATATACATTAATATATAATAAATACCTTTGGGTCACAGCTCAAACTTAAGTCCTGTCAGTCTAGGTAATTAAAAGTCAAAATCTATCTTAAAAAATGTAATATTTTTATTATAGTCCTGATTGTTATACTGTCACTGACAAACATAAAATAGTTATAATTTCATATCATCTAGGCAAAATATCAAGAGAACATAGTTGGTCTAAGCATTAATTCCAGAATCTTCATCTGTCCTGTTTGTGGAACAGTAACAATTATTCTATTATTTCAATTATATGCTAAAGGGGATGTTAAACTTATGTTGCTTTCTTGCTAGAAAATGAAAAATGAGGTTAAAATCCATACATCCATCAAAATTAAAAACATGAAAAAGCAAATCAGACTATGAGAAAATATTCTCCATTACATACATCTAGCAAAGGACTTGTCTCTAAAATATGTAGTTAAAGATTAATGAGAAGTAAAATTCAATTTTTTAAAATAAGATTTCCACAGACACTTCACAAAAGATATATGAATGGCTAATAATAAGCTCATGAAGAGCTGCTCAACATCACTAGTAATTAAGGGAATGCAAATTAAACCACAATGAGATACTGCTACACACACTAAAATGGCTAAAATTAAAAAGACTGATAATACTAAGTGCTGATGAGCATGCAAGCAACTACATTTCTCATACAGTGCAGGTGGGAATATAAACTGGAACCACCGCTATGGAAAATAATCTGTCCATATCATATAAAATTAAACATACACTAACCGTACAACTCAACAATTCTAATCCTATCTTACCCAAGAGATAAAACATATCAACACAAAGATTTGTACATGAATGTTCATAGCAACTGAAGTATCCATCAACAGGTGAAAGAATAAACAAACTACTGGACCATAAAATGGAATACTGTTCAGTAATAAAAAGGATCAAAATGATACCCACAACATATGAATCTCAAAAACATTACATTAAGTGCAAGACACCCATTTTGAGTATATACTGTACATGACTGTACATGCTGTTAAGTATTGCATACTGTAGCAATACTGTACTCTGTACTATAATACACATACTACACATTATAATGATTATTTATATTCAATTGTATAAAAAGTAAAACTAATCTACAGTGGACAGGGAGCACATAGGTAGTGGCTAGGGGCCAGAGGAGGAGAAACTGAAGGGAAAGTGGCAGGAGGGAGTATTTTAAGGTGATGGAAATGTTCTTTGTCTTGATCATGGCGGTGGTGGTTACACAGGTATTCACACTCTTCAACAGAACTGTACACTTAAAATTGTATTTAATTGTATGAAAATTACATACAATTAATTGTATTTTATTGTATGAAAATTACACTTAAGATTATTTGAAAACCAATGAATCCATCAGAAACAAAATAGGTGCAGAATATTGAATGTACCATGTAGCTTAACTTACAAAGTTCATTTCTATTTCTCACTTGCCTCAAATAAATATCCCCTAAAATACAAATTAGTAGTCAAATCTTTCACTTTGTTTCATTTCATTGCTTCATGGAAGAAATTAAATGTCTTCCACCTATGATAAGTTTGCTAGGGCTTAGTTAAGTATAGTGTCCCCAAGAAATGTGTGTATGTGTGTGTGTCTACATTTGCTATTTCGCATTACTCTGACGTTCAGCTCCAAGCTCAGAAAGTAAAATGTTCATAAACTATTTAGTTAAAGAACAACCAAACAGAAAACATTAGAACTTTAGAGATAAATTTATGAAAGGTAAGCTCTACCTACCCATTTGCCAAAGTGGTGGCTTCTTTCATTTGAGCAATTGATCTGTTAACTAAATCAGCTTTCCTCTGATTATAGGCAGCCAAAGACTGCTGCACGGACACAGGAACCATCTTCTCAAACAGATCTACAATTAGAAATGGGAATGTCAACAAAACCTTAAGACAAAAACTCAAACTGTAAAGTGACTGCTCATATTTCCTTTCATATAAAAAGTCTACAAATCCTTAAATTTAAAGTAAAACTATTGAAAGTACAATGATGAAGAGGCTTTTTAGACCACAATATTCAAGGACAATGAAAATGAAAGCTTTTTCTCTGAACTGAAATTTCTCAATGTTTAGATGTGTCTGTCATTGAGTTTAAGGGATCTTTGGTGAAGAAGAGTTAAACATAAGAAAATACTGTTCATCACTGATTGATTAAATTGACTGGGCTACAGCGCCATGGTTCAATTCCCAGCTCTACCACTTCCGAACTACATGACCTTGGATAAATAAGTTACCTTACCACTCAGTGAGTCAGTATCCTCATCAGTCAAGTGGGGATAATAACGGTACCTTTCTCATGGGGCTGTTGTGATGAGCTAATATTTGTAAATGCTTAAAAGCATCCCTGGCACATGGTAAACACTTTGTATTTTTACTAAACAGAAATAAGTAAAATAATCACCCTTCCCCAATAACTTAGAATATTATCCTTGGAATCTCAGCTACAGGCTACCATACGTTGCATATATCTACAATAGCCAAGAATATTATAACATGGTTCCACTTGTTTCTATGTTTGAAGTCATATTTATGTATGTTTATTTTTAATAGTAGAATCTTAAATAACATAACAAATGTTAACGGTGTAAGTACTTGTTTAAAGACTTTGTGATGACTCAATTTCAAGTTTTCTGATTCTGTTGCATACTTTACATATGCTTTCCATCTTAAAATTTCACTGTAGATACAGCACTTAATTTTAATTGACATATTCATTTTGAACACGAATGCAAATTATATTCCATCCATACAATAGCAATTGTGTGATTTTGGCTACAAACAACAGACTAAACTAGAGAAAAGAGGAGTAAGATTAAAGTGCATCTGAACACTTGACATACCAGTGAATTTTTGGCTGATGGGTACATTGACTGGGGTAGATTTCACAAGCGTGGCTTTGCCAATAGGGTCTAGATCTTTGAGGTCTGGAACTCGATCATGATATATGAAGTCATTATCCTTCTTTGCTGCAGTAAGGGCACGGTTGATTTTGTCAGAGAAATCCTTCACATTGACATATTCGTCATAGCGAGATGCCACTGTTTTAATCAATTCTGCTGCGTGCTAAAAAGAAAACGTTTAAAAAAATAATGTTTCTTTGTCTCAACCAACTAGCATTGTTTTTGTTGTTTTTTTAATTCTTTAATTTGAGGACTTGCATTTCCAGCAATGTGGTCAACAGAATAACCTAGAAAAATCCTCCGATCACACAAAACCCCAAAAATGAAAAATAATACATAGCAGACATCCCTTTAAACACGTGTGAATTACCAAGAAAATAAAAGAAATCCATGGACCAATAAGTATACACAGACCCTGAGAAGGGTGGGTGTTGGCTATTTCTATAACACAAAGGACTACCAATTGAAATGAATTAAAAGCCCTCATGGAGACCTGAGATAAGGTCTTGAAACTACATAAGATAGAATGCTGAGAAACAGACCCCTCACCACCTCACATGAAGGCAAGAAGTTCAAAGGACTACACCACAGTGAAAGGATGAATCAGAAAAAAATTACCCAACAACACAGGAAGTCAATAAAGAAACCAGCTGTCTCAGCATCAATACAAATTCTGTTATAAAAAAGGTCTGCCGTTATAATTCGTAAGATGAGCATATGCCTCACATAAACTATATTACTTAGGTGATATTAGGTATAGTAACATCAGATAAAATAGACAATAAAGCCAAAAGCATTATTAGGAGTAAATTCAATACATAATGTTTAACATTTGCCAATTTGCCAGAAAAATAAAAAACTTCTTAAGCTTTGCATTTAATAGTCTCTATGTATATAAAAAATTATAATGAAAAGTTGATACATCTACCTATCATCAGAGTAAATTTTAATACTCCTGTCTCAGCAATGACTCAACCAAGTAAACAAATATTTTTAAGATTATAGGAGATTTGAACAATATAACTAATGAGTTCGATTTATCTGACATGAAAAACCCTGAACTCCATGATCAGAGAATACATTTAGAGAACACCTATATAAAGTGATCACGTACGGAGATGAAGCAAATCTAAAACACCAAAATTACAATACAAGAATGGCTTAATATTAGAAAACCTACTTATGTAATTCTCCAAATAATAAAGTTATTTAAAAAATCTAATTATCTCCATAGATGTTGAAAAGCATTTGACAAAATTCAATATTCATTCTCGATTTTTTAAATCTTTACTAGTATAACAGAAATAGATATCCAGTTTCTTAACATGATAAAATCTTAACCCCCAAAGCAGATCTCATTTTAGCAGAAAAATATAAGAAACATCCCCAGAGTTAAAATAAAACAAGGATCACCAGTATCATCACAACCACAGAACATGTCAAAACAACGAGACAAAAGAATGAAATCAGAGGTATTAAATTTAGAAAAGAAAAGGACAAAATTATTTACAGGTGATATATATGTATACCTGGAAAACCTACAAAAACCAACCACACTATTCTAAATAATGAGAGGTAGCTTAGATACAAAACCAGTAGAGCCAATACAGATAAACAACCACCAATCTGAAGAGGTAGCAAAAGAAATAAATCCATTGTTACTAGCAACAGAAAAAATATCCAGGAATGAATTTTAAAAGATATATGAAGATCAATATGAAACCATAGAGAGACATAAAGATAATAAAAACAAACAAAACAAAAGCTATGTCTTCAATGTAAACTGAGAGGTGGGAATATGCACAAATTTCAATCACTTCTTAAATTTGTAAGTCAAATTTGATTTGTAAATGTGATCACTCTTTCAAATAACAAAATTGGTGCTAGAACAGTAAGATATGCTGACTACACCAGGAGAAAAAGGAGACTTGCTAAAGGCCCCACCCTGAGCGGAAAGTGTTTTAAGTAAATCTAAAAACTATGAAATGGAGTGAGCTAACAACTGCCAGCTGATGATAAACGCAAAGCCAAATGGCCCATTTGGCGAGCCACCAAGGGGTCACAGGAAAAATGGTGTGCTGAGGGGCCTCATCCCAAGAGGGGGCTGTTGAGAACAAAGACAGATTAATTACAAGGGCAGGGATGCTGGCGTAAGGAAAAAAGAGGACTGAAAAGGGAGAAGAAAGTAGAAGTGGGGGAGCAGTCAGAAAAGGTCAACAAAATACAAACTCTAAAAGTAGACGCATCACCTTGAGAAGCAAAAGCTATGAGGAATTCAGGGAAATACAGGTACAGAAGTGACATCCTTCCTAAACCAGACAAGGCTCTGAGAAGTGGCGCTGAGAAGGGAGCCCTTATACAGCAAGGCCTGGAAAGCTACCCAGGCCCATTCCCCAACCCAACAGCAAGAAACCTCTTGCTATTCCCTCCACTAAAATCAATCTCATTCAAACACAAGTAACTGTAAAATCATCCCATCCGCCTCAACACAAAGAAACCATAAGGAAAAGGATGAAAAAGGGCAGTACAACGTTCCAATAAATAATGAGAATTCACCAAAGAAATGTTGCCACAAAGCAGATGAAACGGCATATGAAAAAAACTCAATAAACTAAAAAACAAGGACACAATCATAGTACCAAAAGAACACAAAATACGAACAGAGAACCAAATGGTCCAGACAACAGTGGGTAACAGCCAGATCTCAAGAGAATATAAAACGGGAACTGACATAACTCAGGAAAGAAAGTGAAGAAAAATATGAAATCATTTAAGGAAAGAAAGGTGGGAACATTTATACAAGGAAGAAAAAGGGATAATAAACATCACAGAAATCATTGTAAAAAACACAAAACGTGAGGAAAATTCAACATGACAGTTGGGAAAGGGGAAGCCATTAACAAATGAAAGATTTATGAGACATATCAACCAAATTAATGTGAGGATTGTGTATGAATCCTGATTTGAACAAACCATAAAATGACATCTTAGAAAAAATTAGGGAAAACTAAACTAGGTCTGGATATTAAGTTACTGGTATTATTACTTTATATTAATTAGTATTAATTTTGCTAGATGTGATGACATTGTGGTCTCAATTTTTTTAATCTTTGTCTATTAGAGCTACATACTAATATACTTAAGAATGAACTGATACACTATAGCTGTAATATACTCCAAAAAAATAAGAGGGGAAAAGAAAGTAGATGAAAACGTAAAATATTGATAATTACAGCTGGTTAATGGATATTTCCTAAGTCATACTTTTGTAGATGTGTTTAAAATTTTCCATAATAAACAGTTAAATAAAATAAAATTAATATAGAAGCATAAACAAGCAGGAACAATCAGGAAAATTCAGAAAATGAGAGAGACAATACCTATCAGGCATTAAAACATTCTAAAGTGTCTGACTAAAATGGTATGGAACTAAAGCATGAAAAGATAAACAGGCCAAAAAACCCAGAATGAAACGTTTAGAAATGACTCAAACATATATGACAAGTTTGGTATGTGATAACTCAGAATCTCCCATCAGTGGAGTAAAGAAAACCATAATAAATGGTTTAGGGACCACTAGGTAGCCATTTGAAAAAATAAAAATTAGATCCATACTTCACAACACATATCGGGATAAACTCCAAGTGGATCAAAGATCCAATTAAAATATATAATAAACTGCATGTGTATTGATACTCTGACATCAGCAATCCTATTTCTAGGAATTGAAGATATACCTGCTGCTAGGGACTGACTTGTGTCCTCCCCAAAATTTGTATGTTGACATTCTCACCCTCTAAGTGATGTAACTTGGAGATGGGGCGTCTGCGAGATAAGTATGTTTAGATGAGCTCATGAGGGCAGGGCTCTCCCGAGAGAGGACACCAGCAAGCTTGCTCGCTCTCCCCACCATGTGAAGACACAGCAAGGAGATGGCCAGCAGTCTGCAAGCCAGGAAGAGAGCTCTCCCCAGAACCCGATGATGCTGACACTCTGATCCAGCCTTTGACCCTCCAGAAATGTGAGAAAACATTTCTGTTTAAACAATCCAGTCTGTGCTATGTTGTTATGGAAGCCCAAGGTGGAACACCTGCTAAAATACAAAATGCCAAGTGTACAATTATTCACTGCAGGACTGTTTGTAGTGGTGAATCTTAGAAACACGCAAGTATCCAGCAATATAGTACAGCAATAAACTGTTTTATACAATGAAGTACAATGCAGCTCCAAAGAAAAATGAGGAAGTCTCTCTATAGCTGTATTAAAACGAAGAAATCTTCAGGATATGTTGTTATATGAGAAAAGCAAGATGCACAACATACTTCCGTCTTATATAAGAATGGGGACAGTTAAGAATGTGCAGTGTGTGTGTGTGTGTGTGTGTGTGTGTGTGTGTGTGTGTGTGTGCATGAGTATGTATTTGCTTGTATCTCAACCAAAAAAAAACACTGAATGAATTAAACACGAAGCTAATGGAAATTACCAATGGGGTAGTGGGGAAAAAGAATGGAAGGAACAGGATAGAAGGAAAAAGGTAGAGAAACAGATTGAAATTTATACCTTTATATACACCTGTTTCCCAATATTTATTTTGAAAAATTTCAAGCCCACAGAAAAATTTAAAGAACAGAACGATGAGTAACAATAGACCCTCGACCTAGTTTCAACAATTGTTACCATTTTGCCATATTTGCTTTATCTCTCTTTCCCATATATATATACATATACATGTTTTTTGTTTGGGTTTTTTTTTTTTTTTGGCAGGACCATTTGAAACTAAAGTTCAGATGTCATGATGCTTCACCTCTAATACCTCAGCATATATCTCCTAATAAGAACAATCTCTTTACTACTAACCAAGTTATCATAACCGAGAAAACAAACAATACTTTCACAAAATCAGCTTTACCATCTAACAGGTCAGTCATTAATGAGTTAAATAAATCTCTGACGTATTCATTGTATATGAGTCATGTTTTTCTATCTATATATTTTTAGGCCTTTTTGAAAACTGCACTGTGGCATCTTTAGCGATTCCACCACAAGACAATCAAGTGGACCCACCGTCTGGAGCCAAATAAACTGCATTGCCCGGAAGCACACCTCATGAGCTATCTAAGCCCAGGTATAATTTTGCTTGGCCCCAGAACTGAATCCCAAAGCAGCAATTTTACCTTTGCTGCTATTTTAACTACTGTTTTGCTTTTCCTGACTAAGATTTTGTTTCTGTTTCTGGTTTGCTCATAACCAGTAAGTTGTTTTTCCCACTGCTAACAGCAATGATTGGAAAGCTAATGAAATGTTGTGATCACCTAATGATCTCCATCAGCTTCATGGGGTACTCTTCACTACCGAGTGAGAGACTACATGCAGAGATATGATTTGTTGGTCATCTCTTTTGGTCTGTTTGCCTATTTCTAATCAATTTCTAAGTCAAGTAAAAAAAAAATGTCATGCCTACTGAAAAGAGGAACAGCCCTTTGAGATATAAATTGGTGAGCATTTATGTTCTGTGTTAACTTTTGACCTATGATTAAAGCTGTAAGCTGAAACTACAAACCCTTATGTGTCTGTAACTGAAAACCTTCTTCACCTCTCACTGGGTGATTCTGCAGTACTTTCCTTTTTCCAGAGTGGATTTTGAAAATTACAGTAAAATTCCAAAAGGAGCTCTTCTCTGACTGGTTTACAGAGACTAACTAAGGGCCTGCTTGAATCCAATAGTCCCAGAATTTCCAGAAAATAAAGAAGCTAACTTCTAATATTTTAAATATGCTAGCCAAAAAAAAAAAAATCTTAATACAGACACCCCTTTCTCAGAAGCATTTTCATGTAAGAACTTAAGTTACTATAATCAAAGTGAATGCCTGAACAAAAGAGGTGTTTGATAACTTGGATTTTATACAAAAAAAAAAAAAGTATGCTTTTCTGATTTTGCCAGTGTGGGGTAGAATACAAGCATACATTTTATTTTTTATAAGACTTGGGTTTCTTTTCTCATGAAAAGGCTAATTAATCTGAACCTCCTATGATACTTGCATAGTATCTTCTAATATCCAGTCCGTACTTAAATTTCCTTAAGAGCCCTCTTCCTACTCTGCTTACCAATACTCAAAAAAACAAACAACTCATATAAACAGCCCTTGCCCTGCTGTGAAGTTGCCCCAGATGTCACAGCAAGTTTCTGACAACCCCAAAGCCTACAGTACAGATACAACGGCACAGAAGATGGATTTATCTTCCCACTGTCCTCCTCAGGCTGTGGACTTATCTGCTCCAATTTAGACCAAGGCTAGGCCACAGATTAAGCACTGTACATCCTTTCTGGAGCCTGAAAATTAATTTAGAATATTTTCTATTAAAATAAATGTAGGCAAATAAAAGAGAACTGAATGTAAAGTTTGCATGAATTTTTTAAATAAAATATGAGAATTCAAAATGCATGCAGTAGGTAAAGCCTAAAGACAAAAGCAATCGCTTGATTCTGTTGATAGGGGCAACGACTGGAAAGGTTTTCGGGAGCAACTTGGAGAATCTTACTAAGAAAAACAAAATGGAAATCCAAGCTCCTTAATATTTCTTTCTAAAGGACTCACCTGTAATCTTGCAATCTCTTCTCCAAATTTCTTCTGCTGTTTTGCCAGGATAGACTGGTGGTACTCAGCATTGGCCTGCATGATACAGTGCTTGGCAGCCAAGACAGGGAACACCTCCTGGAAATAAAAATACTGACCAGGGGAGAGTCCAACCACACAAACCACCACAGACAACACGGGATGCAGGAAGAAAAAGGAAAAGGAGACAGAAGTTAGAATTACCCCGTTAATGGTTTAGAGCTAGATTAGGCATCAGGTGTAAACAGAGAGGACCACATGATTTAGCATGGATTGAATTCAAGAATTTCCATTTTTTTCTTCCAATTAAAATTAAGGTGTTGTTGTTTTTTTAAACTGTTCAGTGAAGCCAATTAAAACTTTTACAATTCTTTTTAATTGAGCCATGAAGTCAATATTGTGTTTACAAAGAAGAAAGGAAAGCATGCATTAGAAAGAGAAGTAGAATGGACATTCACAGAGGAATACCAAGCACAGGGTTGAGAAGCTGTCTTAGGAGCCCTTACCCAGCCCTTCGTGAACTAACCCACCATTACTCACATACACTAACGAAACTGCTCTAGAGCTGACTGTTTTATCATGTTTAAAAGACAAAAGACAGTAAAGTAAGTTCCCACTTACATTCATATCCTGAGACTTTTTAATAAAGATGGATTTTAGCCATAGAAAAATGAAGTATCACATAAAAACTAACATTTCAGTATCATATACTCAAAACCACAAGCAAACAGACAAATGCACTAAGTTAATGACTAATATAATTCAGTGTTATCTTGCCTTAATCTGTTTGGAAAAAAATTCCAAACTTATTTTAAAAATCCAAAAACATGAACCAGAAAAGCAGTTACATGGGTAGAGGCTCTTCCAAAATGTCAAATCCTAGCCTGCAACCTCACTGTTTTTAGGAAGTACATGCCATCTAAAATCTAAGAAATACACTAGAAATCACTGTCTAGACAAAAAAAATAAATAAATAAGAGAATCGAAAACTGAATTACTACCTGTGTGCTTTCCTGTCTCCCAGTGAATAATATCCTAGCTTCCTGGATCACTACTTGCAGATATTCCAGTTTTATAACTAGAATATGAAAATATCTTATGAGCTTTATTAGTAAAAAGGCAAAAATAAAAGACATCTAAATCACAAACTACACTCATGCCCGTTCTCAAGGTAAGGCTGGAGCAACTTGGTACTTAAACAGGAGATTTTCAGGGAATACCAGGGATGTTGCAGAGGTAGCTTCCAAGTCTTTGTAGGTGACATTCTTCTCTCCATGACAGGACTGAACTAATGGCCCAACAGGAGGTTAACGGTACACTGTGCAGCTGAACATGAGTCTTTCAGATGAAAAAACAGTGAGAGGAGATTCCCAAGTCTCTTTTTAAGAGTAACACCATTAATACCCAAGAGTCCTTTGCAAATTTCAACTGATCTCTTGGTGTATTTTAAATCTCCAGGAATCTTCACATTAATTCCTTACTGTTCGTTTCCTGACTAATGTGTACTGTTGATACACTTACATGCTTTTTTACTGTACTATAAAACTGTCTGCAATCTCATAACTTACAAAAATTCCCAAATGACCTATTAATCAATAAACTCCCCTATAAAAGATCATGTGACGAATACCAAATGCTATCATAGAGGTAAAAGTAATTCTTTGAACATTTCTGAAAAAGTCGCTGACCCCATACTACATTTCACTCAATCTTTAAGTTTCCATTTTTAACCATTCTAAATTTACTTGTTAGTCTAATCTGCCTTGTCGTTTACAAATTACCACCACTAACTAGTCATTTCAAATGCCACTTCAGAAAAGTTTATATTAAAACAATTAATACTTCCTGTGATATGTGGTGTAAAGATGGTTGCTTTCCTTAGCTGTCCAATGGCAGCCCAATTTTCTATCCCTGTTGGCAAAACTTAATTCTAATCAAAGTATTAGATGAATTTGTTAAGTTTTCTTTTCCTTTTTTCTTTATGTCTGTTTTTGCGCTTTAAGACACATCTTTAAGAAAACAGGACAATAATTAAAAGTGTGAATAATCAACATGCTCAAGTATTCATGCTTGTACTAAATCACCAATGATTCAGAACTACACAATGCCTTGATTTGATAAAATTAATGGAGACAGATGTTCAAAAATTTCCATAAAGAATTAGATTCGAAAAATAAGTTCCGTAAAGAGCAGAGGCAAAGGCATCCCCTAAATATAAAACAAATTTTCATGCATCTTAAATAAAAAACTGTTTCTACAAATTTAGTCTTCAACTGCTTCTCCTAAAATTTCAAATATCTATATAAAACATAATTTTAAACTTGCTTCTTATACATAACAATAACCAAATATTTCCACATGCAAAATAACCAAGTGTATACAAAAACAATAACTGACCTTGGGGAGAGTATCTTTATACTGACACTGTTTGAAAGCATCACCAAAATAATCTGCAGCCTGATTGGCCAATTTAGCTATGATGGCATCTTTCATTTTATCTGGAATAAAATATTAAATGGACCATTATAATTAAAATGTAAAATAATCTAATATATCATGACTCAATATATACAATGAAATCACAAGTTTGTACATTTGTCTTAAAAAATCCTTACTGATAAAATCAATTCATCTGCATAGAACTTAATTATTCCATAGGCAAATACAAACAGTCAGAACATAGTATAATGGTTGCCAGGAGCTACAGGGAAAAGGGAATAGAGAGTGACTGCCAGTAGGTACGGAGTTTTTGGTGGGTGCTGATAATGTTCTAAAATAAGGTAGTGGTGATGGTTGCAAAACTCTGACTTACACTAAAAACCAATGAAGTATAACTTTAAAAGGGTGAATTTTATTGTATATGAACTCTGTCTCAATATAAGGTGTTATTTTCAAAGAAAAACATTGTTCTAGTTGATATCACTTCTAGCTGATGACTGCTCCCTTATTTTCAATTTCTCTGCACTCACATGTTCAGCCCATGAATTCCAATCTGTCATACTAACTTACATGCCTTATAAGAATTGGTCTTATTCCCTCATTAACAGGGCCAGGGACTCTTGCTTAGGTGACTCCTTCTTATCAATTAGGTCTGGTTGAAATGAGACCTCCTCAAAGAAACTCTTCTTGACTAATGAAACTAAAATTTGCATGACTCACTACTACATACTTACCCCACAGCTAGGCCACCAGCCGTATCACATAATCCATCTTATTTTATTTATAGCAATTATCTCTCTTTAAAATACAGCTACTTAATTTCTTTCTTATCTCCCCCAAGCTAAAATGTAAGCTTCCTGAAATAAGGAATCTTGTTTGTCTGCAAACTCTATTTACCTAGAGGCTAAAACAGTGGCTGGAACACAAAAGGTACCCAATAAATATTTGCTGAATGAGTAAATTTTTGACATATTACAAACCTACAAAAATATCACTCCAGAATTCAGTGTTTTAAGACAATAGCTAACTACCCATTTTATAAAAGACTTCAAAGACAGCTCATATTTTTTTAACGTGCATTTGCACCACCTTAAGTTTAGAGGAAAGCTGAAAAATGTAATCCATGTGTCAAATTCAAAGAGGAAAGCTCTACAGTGAACATGTTATATTCTAATTACCTTCTAATTTTAAAAGCCTATTACTTCTTCCCATATGTAACAAAAATGGGGGACAAATTGGAATTACCTCTTGTGGCTTTTAAAAAAAATACTTCTTGGGCCTGTGCCAGCATAATAAGACTGAGGGTCCCAACAGTATCTGGAGATATGTCCACCGTAGGTTCTCGATTTAAGGCAGATAAAACCGTCTCTTTAATATGTAAAAAGGCACCACTAGCAAACTAGAGGGAGAAAAAAAAGAATTTCTTTAAAATGTACAGGAATTCAGCAAGATTTAATTTTCTACTGTTACACACAAAATCATTTCAAATGTTAACTCGGTTGAACAGTTACTATATTTAAATTTTTATATTGTGCAAAACAGATCAAAAACACTTGATAGACAATAAGGGTATTTTTCTAAAACACTACAGAATAACAGGAAATTTAACAAAAATTAAAAGTCAACTACAATAAAAAAAAGTAAATTTATGGGACAAATTGATTACGCTTATTTTTAGATACACATCCTCAAAACTAACAAGAAGATGGAAGCAGGGAGAAAATACTAAAATGTTTTTAGTACTGATATGCTCTTGCTTTGGTCCCAAACAAATTCATCATCTCTCACAAAAAAATTAAACTAGGAAACCTCAAATAGTGTAGATACCTAGACCTCTGGGAACACCATAACCAGTCATTGCTAACGATTTCTATTTGGCTCTCAGAGCTCCTTGGTGAAACGTTATCCATCAGATTTTTCTTCCCAATTATATTTTGCTGAGGTAAACACTAAAATAACTTTGCTTTTATGAAACAAGTGACACTGGGAAAAAAGCAGTCTGGAATTAAAAGGTGATGTGGGTTATACAGATAAGCTATGCAGAAATAACACAAGGTTAACTGTTTAAAGTGAACATCCTGTTTTCTGCAGTCATGAAGTATCCTGAAACTAGAGTATCTGCAGGGAGTGATCAGCCGGCCCTGCTTAGTAAACTAGCAGAGTCACAGAGGATCCAGTCTCTCATTCACAGATAAGGAACTGGAAGCCCACAGAGGTTAAAGAACTTACCCAGGGGCACACAGCCTAGACAAAGATCTAGGTCTTCTAATATCACTAGTTCCCTTTCCATCACACTAGGTGACCTGCTATAACTCACAGAGGTGACTCACAGAATGGAATATGTCCTCAATAATTCAGAATGCCCTCCGTGATCTCACAGGCCAATTAACTGAGTTACAGCTAATAGAAAACTAAATAAAATTTTACTTCATTATCATATTTTTAAATATTTGCCATTTATGGCCTCAAAAAGAAAATGTACGTATGCATATTTTATCTGACTATATGGCAAGCTACAATTTGGAGCACGTTGTTTGCTAAGGTATGTTTTCCTCTCCCTTTCCTATAACAGCATTCCTCACCTCTCCCCTAAACTTAACAATGGGAAAAATCAGACTCCACCTGTGAGACAAGCTAATTCCAGAGCATGAGAGAAAGTGGAAGGACCATTTGGCATTCCATTAGATCTGGAATCAGAACACCTGAAACCACAATGGACCACTTTGTTAATACTTCTGCTTTTAGTCTCCTTGACTGTAAACTGAGAATGACATTATATAACATGCATCACAAGATTTATCTGAGAGTCAAATAATGTACATGAAAACACTTTGTAAATTATAAGGCAACATCCAATATGAAAACATGATTATAGATGATATCACTTAGCAATAATCTCTTATCGTTCTTTAAATTGAAACAAAAAAATAAAAGCTGAGTAAATAATAATTGCCACAAAATAATATGCCATATTAAGAAATGATACTATCTAAAATATAAATTTAGCTAACTTAAGAACATTACATATTTGGACCACATTTAAATATGACCTCTCCACAAGTCTCAGAGTTAAACTTTTCTTGCCAAGAGGTCTTAATTTTTGTGAGTCTGGTGAAATTTTATATGTCTCACTATAAATATATATATATATATATATATATATATATAAATATATAAATAATGTACAATTTTTTTTAAGTAAGGTCATTTATTTAAAAGGGACTTAATCATTTAATCACTTGTTCTCTCAACATTTATTGAGCCTTTATTATGTGCCAGGCACTGTGCTAGGTGCTGGGTATAAAATGGTGAGGAAAAACAGAGCTGGTTTATAGGTAAGCAGTTTATCTAAGGGCTTCAAAAATACGATCAATTCATTTAAAAGTATATTACTTTTCAAGAAAATGTCTGTCTGTAAAAGAAACATCTATACACCTAAATGCAAATGATTTTCCATTTAATCCAACTCAGTGTTGATCATTAGGTAGTGACTACTGTTCTGCATACCTGGTAATGCTTAGCAGCGATTTTCAATCCTTCATCATTATCCAGGTTCTGTTCTGCTGCAATCTGGCTAGCTAAGGCTGCACAATTGAACAACACACAGCTCTTTTCATATCCTAAGCTTGCAAGAGCTGTAAAAAATTGAGAAGGAGAAATTTATCAGATTATTTTTTCTAAAGAAATTAATGTTTCAAAGAGAAATACTATAACCTCTATCCCATTGCCTCCAATAAAAGCAAGTTTCCAGACCTGTTTTCTCACCCATAATATGCTCCCATATTTCTAGCTGCCCTGCCAGGCATTTATTTCCATAACAATATTCCCAACATCTGAAATTCAAAAGATCAATAATATTATTTCTTCCTTCCCTTTACATCCACACTGTTAATGGTCAGGTTCAAGAGGAAAAGTCATTCTGTGTCATTTCTCACTTAAATCCAAATAAATTCATTCCATTTTTCCATCACTCCTCGCAGAATTATGTCTTCCCACCGCATATAAACCAATTCCTCACTACTACAAAACTAAGCCAATGCCAAAAGCTCCTAGCTGGCCTTCCATGCCTCACTCCCTTATACCACTACATCTCTCAGAGGCTAGCAAATTATTTGCTTAAAATACAACTCTGATCAAGAATCTATACACCTCACAACCATTTGAAGAACTACTATCAAAAAAACAGAAAATAACAATTGTTGGCAAGCAGATAGAGAAACAGTTAATTGTTGTACAATGTTGGTGGGAACGTGAAATGGTGCAGCTAGTGTGGAAAACAGTATGGCAGTTCCTCAAAAAAATTAGAAAATGACCATATGATCCAATAATTCTACTTCTCAGTATCTTCCCAAAAGAACGAAAGCAGGCTCTCCGGGCAATATGTGTATGCCCTTATTCATGCAGTATTATTCACAATAGCCAAAAGGTAGAAGCAATCCAAGTGTTCACTGACGGGATGAACAGACAAAGAAAATGTGATATATATACACACAATGAAATATTATTCAGCCTTAAAAAGGAAGGAAATCCTGTCACATGCTACCACATGGATGAACCTTGAGGACATTACGCTAAGTGAAATAAGCTAATTACAAAAGAGAAATACTGTATGTTTCCTCTTATATGAGGTACCTAAAGTAGTCAAATTCATAGAAACAGAAACAGAATGGTGGTTCCCTGGGATTAGGGGAATGGGTGAAAAGAGGAGTCGTTGTTAAAGGATATAGAGAGTGTTTCAGTTTTGCAAGATGAAAAAGTTCTGGAGATCTGTTCCACAACAATGTGAACATACTCAACACTACTGAAATTAAAATTGGTTAAGATAGTACATTTTATGTTGTTGGTTTTTTTTTTTACCACAATAAAAAAGACAAATTCAATCACAGTGATAGTCAGGGTCTTACATAACGTGCCAAGCATTGAGCACCAAGCAAAATAATCAGAAGCCTCCTTACAAAAAAAAAGACAACACTGAACAAACCATCTAGGAGAACAGGAACACCACTGTGTGTGCCACAGAGCAGTGCCACCTTTTAGCAGTCTCCCCTGTAATAGAGGCCAGTTTTCAGTTGGCCTCCAACCCAGCGCTAGCCTCCTCAACCTAAAATGAAGCAGACATACACACCAGCTACTAAGATTTCTTAAAATATATATATTAAAAATCTATAATAACCAGACGTGAGAACAGCCTGCCAGAAAATACAGATCAAGGTCAGCTGAAAAACTGTGCCCAGAGTAAACAAAGATGATTCCAATAATAGAAAACAACATCTCAAAGATCCTAATAAGCATCCTTAAAGAGATTCAAAGATGCTACATCCATAAAACAAGAACATAATGTTATTTTAAAAAGGATAACCCATGAATAAGAAAAAGCTCCTGGAAATTAAAAACTTGACTGCTAAAAGTTTTTCAAAAGAAATATTAGAAAATAATATAGTTAGGCAGCCCATAAAGTCAAAGAAATGAAAAATGTAATAGTTATGAGTAGCTCAGAACAGCCAACACCTGACTAAGCATTTCAAAGAAAAGAGAGAAAAAAGTGAAAAAGAAATTATCAAAGAAATGTAAGGAAATTTTCCAGGGCTAAAGGGAATATGAGTCTTCAAACTGAAATGGCCAACAACATGAATGCCACACATAAAAAACAAAATAAAAGCCAATTAGATCTTCTGAGATTTCTAAACACAAAGGATAAAAAGAAATTGTAACAATCTTCCCAAAGAAAGAAAAACAGGTCACCTACTAAAGAACAAAAGTCAGCTTCTCATCAGTAACACTGGACAGTAAAAGGCAAGAAAACAATGCCTTCAATTTCTGAAGAAACAATTCTAGTAAATTCAGCAAGTATATGTTAAGGCCAGTATGGCCGGAAAAAAGACAGCAAGGGACAAAATGGTAGGCAATGATTTCAGGGAGGTGAAAGAGAGACAACGCATGCTGTCAGGCCTTTAGCTTTCACTCGGAGTTTTGAACAGAAGCTCGATCAGCCCACACTGTGGACAACAGACCGCAGGGAAGCAGCACTGGGGAAAGCTGCAGTGAGGTGCTGATGGGGGATGGTGTCTCAGGAGCACGGCAGCAGCAGACGTGCTGAGAGGTGACTGGATTGCGGATGTATTTTAAAGAAAAATCTGATAGGATTTGCTGGTAAATTAATTAGATGTGAGGAATGAAGCGAAATAGTGTCAAGAATAACTCCAAGGTTTTTGACCAAAGCACCCAGGTGCCAGAATTTCACATCAAATGCGTGTGAAAGCAGAATGCAGACATTTTCAGAAAAAAGGAATTCAGAAAGTTGACTTTTTTGCAGAAAGTTATTTAAGAACATATTCCAGCAAGAGGGAGACACAATATCCAGAAAACAGCAGCTCTAACCAAGGGAGCAGGAACACCAGTCCAGAATGTTAGTTATGCAGCGTTATAGAGCAAACAGTCCAGGTTCAAGCAAGAAAACAGAAGAGGCCGTGAGACTCCCAGGAAGTGGGGGACTCCAGAGAAATCAATAGTAAGGAAAATCTTGAGACTACGATAAAAGCGCACGATGTTTATGATGGTGGAGCAACTTCTACACACACACACGGCAGTATAACAAAGTCATGGCTAAATATGAAGCAACTGGTCCTAAAATTATACATGATAAAAACTCAGTGAACTTCAGGAAGAATGAAATACATACAGTCCAAGCAACAGATAAGGGTAAATTTTTTATATACAAGATATATAAACTTTTTAATTACAAGATATATATACATATATACAAATATTATCATCCCAGGTTAGTCTGTTGTTTCATTTCAGCATTTCTCGTGTATAAGAAACTTTGTGAGAGAAAAATTATCCTTATAATTAAATTTTATCTTTTTTCCTTTATTATTTCTATTAAATCTAAACTTAAATCAGGCTTTTTTTAAAAAAAATAAATATTCAATTCTCCTTTCTTCAAAGAGATCTTTTTTCTTAATATTCAACTCCTCTATTTGTACCGGAGCTCTTTTTTTCACACTAAGTTTTTCAAAATGAAAATAGCTGATTAAAAAAAAAAAGTTTTTCTAAAATTCAAACACTTGTTAAAAAAAAACTACAAAAGAAAAAAAATGAGAAATCACCCAATACCCTACACTTCCCAGAGTTACCCACTGTTAATAATAGCACAGCAGCTCTGACCTGTAACAGGCCTTTTATTCAACATTGCATGGATATAGATTTAAATGTCAAACATATATTTATATTATCATTCTTAGTATTCTAAAATTACACTGTATTCGAATGAATGAGTAGCCCGTGCTTTATTTAAGGAAGATATTACTGAAGGACATTTAATTCCCAGTATTTGCTAACAGAAATGCCTTGATGGAGTACCTCCTGCTTTATGTATGTATGCTTTTTCTTCTTTTCTTTTCTTTTCTTTTTGCCTCCCACTTCTTCCAGGAACTTGGTTCATCATTTAACCTATCTCACTTAAGTATCCCCTAGTTCTCCTACCACTAGCTCCCTATTCTCAGCCTACCAATTTGCTTGGCACAACAGCACTAAAAACCCTTTTCTTGACCTTGCCTCTCTCTCAGCATAATGCTCCCTTTATCCTAAAATCTTTACTTCAAACTTTCCGAAACAAACAACCCACATCTGCTTTTCCACCCCTCGACCTGATGCTATTTGGCTTCTTTAGAATGACCCTAGTGAAACTTCTTTCATTGCCAAATCCAGTGGCTTCTCTAATCTTACATGACTTGACCTCTGTCAATAATGCACCAACCTGGATGAACATCAGAGTCACTTGGAGATATTTTCAGATACTAATTCCAGTGCCTCTCACCTTGAAACTTCGTATCACATCTGGCATTCTGTAACTTTATCTTTAAAGATACATGTGTATCTTTAACATTTCCCCAGGTGATTCTAATGTGAGCCAGGTTCGGGAATCACTGGACTACACCATCTTTGAAACTCTCCTGGCATTCAATTCCATGTCTCTATTTTTCCCTGGTTCTTCTGAGATCTGAAATCTTTTTCTCAACCTCATTCCCAGGAATCTCGTCCACTGTTTCCCCTGAATGTTATATTCTCTAGCTCTGGCTTTCACACTTTTCCCAATCTATCCTCTACCAGAGGAGATAAATTTTTTTATCATTTAATGATAACTGTTCCCAAACCCATGTCTCTACCTCTTTTGAGCTTTAAATCTATTATTTCCACATACCAAAGGAAAATTTCTACCCAGACAAAACAGAAAAGTCAAACTCAACCTGTCTATGGAAAGAAAGAAATATCTAACAGGTCAAACCAAGTTATAAATCTTAGAGCAGGCCCTTAACTACTACTCTCCCCTCTGACTGACAGCAGACCCAGTCGGTTTCACCTCTGAAATGTCTCTCAATCCCATCTCTTCTCCTCGGACCCACATATATATATACTCCTCATCCAATTTCATCCATCTCTCACAAGTCTCCTAACTGGTCTGTTTCTTCATAGTTTCTGGAGTTAAGCTTTCTGGATTCAGACCCAGCTTCATTAAATCCTTGCTATATGACCTTGGAAAGTCACTTAATCTTTCTAAACCAGTTTGCTCAATTGGTAATAATAGTGCCTTTCCTCAGTGGGCTACTGGGGAAGTCAGTAAGATAGTATGTGTAAAGTCCCTTCTACAGTGCCTGAGTGGAATCAGTGCTTAATAAATGTTAGCTATGACATGTAAGCTACACGAGTACAAAACTCACGAGTGTATTACTTACAACTCTTCACAATCTACTTTCCAATGTCTTCACCCTCCATAATCCCCAATTCAACCTATGGTTTCAAGCCTTAATGATAATTAATGTTAACATGTACATAATTTATCCTGCATAATACTGTTATGTAATAGTAAACAGTATATGTCCTATAATGCATACATATTGTAATAATATATTATATATGGTTATATAACACAATATTATAATTTTTAATTGCAGCTACTATTTACTGAGCACTGTTTTAAGGACTTGACATGTATTCATTCCTTTGATCCACACAAGAACCCAATGAGATAAACAGTGCTTCACAGTACTATTCCCCACTTCACACAGATGAGAAAATTAAGACACAGAGAGGTTAACTTGCCGAGTTAAAAAGCTTTCACTCTTATGACCTTTAGTTATAATGTTCTACCTGTAATGTTGTTTTCTACCTGGAAAAAACAAATTCATCCTTCAAGGTCTAACTCCAACATTGCTTACTTTCAACAGGCAGAATTAACTTCCGCATCCATGTTCCCCAAGTCTGTTCACAGACTGATCAACTGTCTTCCCAACCAGCCTGAGTTATAGAACTGTCTTATTCACTTTTATAACTAGGACAGTGCCTGGCAAGGCATAGGCTCTATACAAATATTTGGAAATTGCGTGAAAACTTGAAGTTAAAAGGAAAGTGAAATAAAAAAAAATGTTATTACTTAAAAAGAGTCATTTGGAAAGCAATTTTTAAAACCTAAAACAAAGTGTTTAGACCAAGTTTCCTATCATTTTGAATTAAAAAATTACATACCCAACTTTACAGATCCTCCAAAAAGTGAACCTTTATCAAAAGCATCCTTCCAGGTAAATGTCAAGCAGATCTTGATAGAAAAAGAGAAAATGGAAAACTATGTTACCTTCTTGGATCTCATTAAATATTGTCTCTTTGAACGAAAAATCCATAATGAGGAAAAAGACAAAGTTTCAACCTGTGTAAAATATTATCTTCTCTAGCCAATCAATTCCTTTTCCTGGCCATTTTTTTTCCTTTCAAATAAAATACTAGGACTAAGTTATTTCAAATGGTCACTCTGCTTCAGTAATTGTACATGTAGTCTTCTCCAGAAAACATGATCTTATTCATCTATATTAGCAAACAATGCGTTGAACAGAACAGGAACTTAATAAATGATTGTCAAATAAACCTAGAGAAGCACAGGCAATAAAGTAAGTACTACAGGTTTCCCAGAAGATAAAATTAAAACTATTCCATGATGAGAAAAGAGAATGTTTATCTTTGGTGGATAGGGTAAAGTAATTTTATTTCTTGATTTCGGCGATGATTTTACATGTATAATCACTTTGTGAAGAGTCAAGCTATACATACGATATGTTCACTTTTCTATATGTATGTTATACATGAATAAAGAGTTTACTTAATTTAAAAAAATCTCACACTTCTAAAATATTCCACATATGAAGGTTTAAAAGAACTTAGCCTCTTTTAAATTACATATGGCAATCTAATTTTTTTAACTCTAGATTAGAGAAATTTTCAATATACACAAAACCAGAGAGGCTAACATAATGAACCTATCACCAGTTTTAGCCTTTTGCCCTTCTTGGTTCATCTACCCACCCACCCCCACCAAACCAAACACACACACTTTTTTTCCTGCAGTATTTTAAAGCAAATCTCAACATATTATTTCACCTAGAAAAATTTTAGTACTAGAATATTTAATGTATTTTTCATACTATTTTAAAATTTAGAAATGTTAAAGAAATTAAAAACTTTCAACACTCCCAAATAAAACAGTAAACGATCAGCATGTTCACTATCTAGCCTTTTAGAAAAAGTAGACATTCTTATAGTATAACATCTAATCATAATAGCATTTGCAACACTGTATACAAATTGTATACCATTTGTTTACATTTAGGTACTTGTACAATTTTTAAAGTATATAAATTGAGACTAATACTTTCTGAATTACATAGTTCCTTTAATTCTGTAAAAACCAAAGGGAAGGACACTGTAGATAATCATCAATAGATCTTACTGGGCCGGCCGAGTGGCGTGTTAGTTAAGAGCTGGCTTGGGAAGTCAGAGGGCCCCGGTTCGGATTCCACATATGAGGGCCAGTGACACTGCCCTCCACAGCTAAGATGCTGAACAACAGCTCGACCTGGAGCTGGGCTGCCATGAGTCGCCAGCGATGGCATAAGCTGCGGCCCCTGCTACAGTGGGTTGCCATGGGCTACTGTGTCTAGCCAGCAGCCAGCATGAGTGACCAGCAGCCGCCATGAGCGGCCGTCCAGAAGCCAGCGACTGATCTGCTTCACCCGGGAAGAACACAATGACGGTGCCAACTTGGGCCAGTAAAGCAATGTCCTCCACAACTAGACTGAAGAACAAAACGACAGCAACTACTCTGTTCCCCTTCCCCCAATTCCCCAATAAAAATCTTAAAAAAAAAAAAAAAGATCTTTCTGATGTAAAATATAGTAAAAAAAAAAAAGGCAGTCCAATGCTCTACATGAGTCCAGAAGTGACTGAGGAATGACATGAACAAGTTCCAGGAGACATTCTTCAAGAAGACATAGATTCACATCAGATGGGCCGAAAAGCTTCTAATTTGTATAAAAGTCTCATAAAAACCTAAAGATAATGAAGAGGCACCATTTATTTTAATAAAATGATACCATGCGTGGAAGAAAATAGGTAATTTGCCATTATCCATATAACTTTGAAACAAATTAGATAAATAACTTACCTGATTTTCAGAAAACGGGAACTTAGGTTCAATGGCACAGATCTGATCATAGTATCTAAAAAACAGAGCAAAATTAAAAATTACCAGAGCTAAATATTATACACATTTATGTAAATACAACTGGTCAAAGAGTATACTAAAATTATTCACGCTTACTTCAAGTGGCCCACAAATAAAATTCCATCAGCAATTTTGAAGTTAATGAACATAATCTTTTCATGTGTACCCCAAGAGCTAAAGTGCACACACACACAATGAAAAAAACTGAACAAAAACTCATACCACCAAAGAAAAATATTTACCAACTATTATTGGCTAAAAGCAAGCTAACATCTGCCCAGGAAATCAAAATATTTCTTAAAATACTATTTATTAGAATAACTGTTTATATCCACTGGGCAAATTAATATCTCCACTTCTGTCCATCTCCGCCACTGCCACACAGTTCATCAAAGCTACTAGCCTCCCTTTAAAGTAGACGAATTCAAAAGTTTCCTAGCCAACCTCCACATCTTGTTCTCTCTACCCTCATTCTTTTCGCTCTGTTCTCCACAGAGAAGCAAGAATGACATCAAACATGAAGCAGTCTTCCCCCTCATTAAGACGGTCACTGAACCAGCAAGGCAGGCAAGGGGGTGTCTAAGGCCAAGCTTTCTAACTGGCCTCTAAAATTTCCCCCTCCCCTTATCTCCCTGCCCCGCCAACCCTTCATCAGGGCTATCTTCCCAATGGTTATTTCTGAGGCCAAGTGTTTGGAGGGAGTGGCATGTCTGAGACCAAATTTTTGGCTGGCATGGCCATGAGTTTGGTTACAAACAGGAAGAACAGAACAATTAAGTAAGTACACCAAAGATAATGGGAGCCAGGTTTCTAGAAGAGAAAGGAGTTGCTAATAAGAGAAGGGAGAAGGCTAGAATAAACTCTGGCTTTGGACTGGAAATGGAAGTATCAGTGTGAACTCACTTTGTAACATAAGGGGAATGGGGGGGGGAGTATGTGAGTGAGTGTGTGTGTGTGTGTGTGTGTGTGTGTGTGTTTCCTAAATGTATATGCTGAGAGGGTCTAGAAGCAGTAACACCTAGGTAGTAATAAGCATACCTAGTGCCCAGATAAATAATGCTCTGCATTAAAAAGAGCCAGTGCTCCTTAGAGATACGGCTGACTCCTCCACTGAGACTGAGAAAACTGGAGACTGAAGCCTAAGACATTTTGCTATGCCAGAAAGTTAAGGAAGTACTCAAAAAATAATGAGGGCACGTCAAAAGGACACAGCCCCCTCACTTTAGGGGGCTCCCACTAGCTAAGCCCAGAAAAATTTAAATAAAATAAATAACAAATCATAACGCATGGAGGAAAATAAGAACACCATTCTGAAGTGAGTAAAATCAGCAGGTGAATAGGAAAAGCTCTACCATACTGTACAATGCCAACTAATAAATCTAGAAGACAAAATCAAGTTAGAAAAATCACCATTTGACATCTTTCAGAGTATAGTATCCAATTCAGGTAAGGTTCATCAACGGATGCTAAAACATGAAAGACTGATGAAAACAGGATATTATAGTCTCAAAGTACCTCCCCACAAATACTTTCTAACTACTACAACACACTTATTAACTGTAAGGTTAAGAAACCTGGCAGACGCCATCTTAGCCAAGCAATAAAAGTTAACATTACCAGCAACAGGACAAATCAACATTATGTTCTTCCTGAGAGCATTAAAAAGAACACAGCATCACTCTGTGGTACCACTGCCCCAAAATGCATTAATCACAAGAAAATGAGACAAATCCTTATTGAGGGACATTCTACAAAGTAACTAGCCTGTACTCTCCAAAAATGTCAAGGTCGCGAAAGATAAGGAAGAACAAGAACTGTTCCCATCGAAGGAAAGACAACAACTAAAGGCAACACAGGATTCTGGATTCAGTTGTGGACCTATAAACGACATTACTGGAAAAATTGGCAAAATTTTAATGAACTCTATGGATTAAATGGTAATATTCAATCAATGTTAATTTCCTGATTTTGAAAGGTGTACTATTATTATATAGAAGCGTATTCTTGTACTTAGGAAACAAAATCTGAAGTATTAAGTGCTCAAATCCTTTCATGGATTCCTATTATCCTCAAAACTACATCCAAAAATGCTGACAAGGTCTAGCATTACCTGGCCATCATTCAATTCTCCAAGCCTCACCGCGGAGTATTCACCACTCATTCTAGTCACTAAGTCTAGGCTCTCTCCTGGCCCCAGGCCTTCACACATTTTTTTCTCTGTACCTAGAAACTTCCCATCACAATATTCTACCTCTTTGATCTAGGCTGACATATTATCAAAAAAGCCATTCCTCATTCATTCATTCAACAAATATAGGAGGTCTGACAATTAAGTTTGTAAACTTGTTGCAACAATGTTGCTAACCTTTTTTGATATCAGAGGGATTATGAATTTGTACCAACTGGACAGTTAACCAAGTTAACTATTTAGAGTGCTGTGTGAAACAGTTAAACGACCTGAACTTTTCGCCGAAAATTCATGGCTCTTGCATCACGACAATGCACCAGCTCACACGGCCTGTCTGTGAGGGAGTTTTTAGCCAGTAAACAAATAACTGTATTGGAACACCCTCCCTGCCCACCTGATCTGGCCCTCAATGACTTCTTTCTTTACCCAAAGATAAAGGAAATATTGAAAGGAAGACATTTTGATGACATTCAGGACATCAAGGGTAGTACAACTGTAGCTCTGATGGCCATTCCAGAAACAGAGTTTCAAAATTCCTTTGAAGAGTGGACTAGGCTCTGGCGTCGGTGCATAGCTTCCCAAGGGGAGTACTTTCAAAGGTGACCATAGTGATATTCAGCAATGAGGCAGTAGCACTTTTTCTAGGATGAGCTCGCGAACTTAATTGTCAGACCTAGTGTACTAAGAGCTTACTGTGCATCACAGTTCTAGGACATAGGAATTCAGCAGTACATAAGCATTTTAAAATGTGTACCATTGAGAAGATTATTGTTAGAGGGATAGGGAAACAACATAAATAAGTAAAAATATAGTCTAGTAGAGAGTGACAAGTGCTATGGAGAAAATTAAAGAGACGAGAGGGGTAAGGTATGGTATCTTTACATCCTCTACCCTATTTGATTTACAAATTGCAGCAATGTCATTAGTGCTAACATTATCTCAGTATCTTCACCTCAAAACCAACAATCAGAATGTAAGCAATAGTTCTGAGTAAAATAGAACAGCAGTATTTTCTTTCCTGGTCTCTAAAACACTAGCGCTTGGAAAAACTTTCAGAAATTATGCGACTAGTTCCATCAATTTTATTTTACAAACAAAAAAGATTATTTCCACAATGCAACAAACTAAAATTTAACCCATAAAAGAGTGACAGACTAATCTCTTTTAAAATTTTATGAAGTCTATATAAATGACTCGAGTTAAAGAAAACAAAACTAAAATTACCAACTATTAAAAAATAAACATCAATGAGAATACAACATATCAAAAACCAGTTGGATGCAGCCAAAAGCAGAGTCAGAAAAAACAGGCAGTCCTAAAATAAAAGTATTAGAAAAACAAAAAAGATGGAAAGTTCATCATTCAATACAAAAAGAAAAAAGAAAAAGAAAATAAGTGAATGACAAAAGCAGAAAACAAAACAAGAAATCACAGACTTAGTTTTAAAAAAGAAAAACAGTGGCTGCAAACATTTAGCAAATCTGACCAAGGAGAGAAAGTCATACATAATATATGCACAACACTATGAGTAAGAAAAAAATTGTTTAACTACAGATTATTAGAAGAATAAAGCATTTTGCTAGGACTTTTGTGTGACAAAAAGATATGATAAACACAATTAAGACACACGTAACAGATATGAAGATGAGATTCACAAGATACGTAATGGAAAAGAATAAATAGCTAGAAAAGGTAAATAACTCCTAAAAATCAGTGAGGAAAAAACAAGCAACCTAGAAAATGGGCAAAGAAAAAGAACAGGCAATTCACAGAAAAAGAAACTAAGTGAAGAGTAAATGGAAGATGCTGGACCACAGAAATCATGGCACTGCAACCTACAATAAGATGCCATCGCTCATCCATCAGTTGAGCAAAAAGCAATAATCTGAATTATTAATCAGCAAGGACTAGGAAAGACAAAAAAAACCTCACAAATTCCTGCTGATGGGAATGTAAATTGATACAACCACTGTGGAGAGCTGAAAATGCAGATACGCTCCTCTTCCATTTAAAACAAAGTGCTGCATAAACACCCTTTTCTGCTTCCTCCCAAAATTCCACTAAAATAAAATTAAAAAGATAAAAATGCACAAGGACAAAAAGAATGGGAAAGGGCACAACAGCACATAAGAGGCTTTAGTGACAGTTCCTAAAAGGTGAAGCGAATGAAGCAGAGAAAGCCAAAATTCTAACTGCCTAGGGAAGTGAGCTAACAAAGTATAAGCCAGATCATGCCCGAGAAGCCAGAAAGGATCTGAATTAAGCAGCAAGAGGTACCACTAAAGGCAGAAATTCAATGTAAGGGTGGGAAGAGAAGGTGTGGTGGAAAATCCAGGCTACCAGATCCTCTACTCAGAGGGTACGGTAGGTTTACTCACAAGAAACGTTAAGGATGTCAAGCACAGCTAAGGTGGGGGGATCGGGCACAGCTAAGTGGCGCTGATGGGGACTGGGATGGGAACTGAGAGGCTATGTTTGCAAGTGCTAATTGCCTACATCGTTCTGTCTCCTTCCTTCCTAACAGAACCCCAGATTTTAGCTGGGTATGTGGCTGCCTTTAATAAAAACTCCTTTTCCTATCCTACCCTTCTGTGAGATGTGGACATATGCAATGGTCAATAACATATGAACAGGCAGGGTATCGCGGGGCAGTTTCCAGGAAATATCCTGCAGGCCCAGCTCTATGCCTCCTTTCTCTTTCTCTGAAGCTTGAGTCTGAAGCTTGAGTCTGACTGTTATCTGGACCCTGAGGACAAGGATTCTAGGTGTTACAGAGCAGATAGCTGGAAGGAGCCTGAGCCTGATGAACTTCACAGAACCACTATACCAGCCCTGGACTACCAGAACTGCCTATCTACCAACTTTTTACACAGGAATAGAATCATAACTCGCTGATAATTTGAGATCTATCACATGCACCTGAATCCAACCCTAATACAGGTGCCACACTAAAAACAGATATAAAAGATTGCACATGCAATTGTTGAGATCCCCAACCTCCGTTCCCTCTGATCAAATTTCAGAAAGCTGATAACTAGGCTTTTTCATGGAAGTAGACTGGAAGCTTTCTCTCTAAAGAAACTAATCGCCACAAAAAGACACAGACGATGCTATCAGGAGTTTCCCTCCAAAAAACCCAGCAGGTTCCCATCTGATCACCCTAGAGTAAAGCTCACCATTTACTAAGGCTCTTCTAATCAACTTTTAGTTAAAGCCACTTTATAAAGGATGACGTTCATTGTCAATATCATACATGTAGATGTATATTTTAGGAAATTTTAATAGAGCATCTACATGTTAGTAAAAATAAAAAGGCAAGTCCATTACTGGACCTACTTGTGGAGCTGTGTACCAATACTTACCAAGCTAGCTTCTATTCTTTAGGAATTCGCTTAACACTTCTTTTATGAAAATGTTATTTAAAAGTTCATTAAGTTAAAAATATGTAAATTAATGCTCAGCTTACACCAGTATCCAAACATAATGATTAAAAGATATTTTACTTGATTGGAATGAACATCTCACAAATGTTTGTTTTTTACAGCCTACATACCCGAAGAACTTTTGTACAGACCTCCATTATAAAATTTAATAGACAGAAGTTTATCTATTAGCTTACCCTAACCCCACTAGAAGAGCAAGAAGTGAAAAAAGTGGTTAATGAATGCGCTAGGAGAGGATAATATAGAGGTGACTAAAGAAACATGGTTTCTCTTTCTTCAAAGAGACTATCTCTGCAACAGCCCTAGTGCCTAGCAACAGTTCTCCCAGTTATGCCTGGAAAAAGAAAAAAGGAAATCAACAAATGAATGACGTTTTCAAATTCACAGGAAAACCTCATCAGAACCACAATCCACTATTCTCTCGACTGCTAGTCTCAACTACATGCAACAATTGTCTCTGAAGGCTCCAAACTCCTTAAGGGTTGGACCAAAACAAACCTAATCTATTCAACAAGATTTTTATCGTACTATTCATTATACTCGTACTTTTTTAAAACTACTAGTGGAAAATCCTTACTGAATGCTAGTCCATGTCTACATAAAAGCTGCTTTGGAGATTTTTTTTAAGTGCATTAATTCTAAAGAAATGTGTTAGTATTCCTAAGTTAACTTTTTAAAAATGCTTATACTAAGTGTCAAATGATGATCCTTACAACCCAACAGTCTTATCTTTAAAACTGACACCAAGAGGTCATAATCTCGCTGAACAATCTATTCAACATCCTCCTTTTGGGAACCATCTCTTCCCCATTCCATAATTGCTTTGATCCATGGAGAGTGAAGGAGTTCAACCAGTTGAGTGACTCAGACAAGGGAAATAAATTAGCACATTTCCCACCATCATAAATGGGAACAAGCCAACCCAATAAAAGGCCTCCCATGGATTTCCGCCAAAGCTAAGCAGAAAAGCACTCTCGTGTCATTCTGAGTGTCCCGAACCACTGCAATGACAGCAGGGCTGCCAGTGGCCATGTCTCCCAATACGGGAACAAGCCTCACCTAAAAGGGAATCAACATAGAATCAAGATGGTCTCCAGGGATGCCGAAAGCTAAGGAAGCACAATTCCTAGACTTTTCAGTTACTGGAACAAATAAGCTAGTTTAACCTGGGCTTCCTTTACTTACATTCTAATACTGCTGTATTTCTCCTTTGAAACAAGAAATGTTACGCGTGGGAAATGAGATCATTAACAAGGTAGGCCAAAGAAATGTTTTAACTATGTTCTGCTATCCTAACTGGAAAGAACCAGGAAACAACTCTCATTAAATCCAGCATGCGCTCAACAAGCTTTTGCTAAAAATAACAAATGTACTCCATGGTGTGCATACCTGTTTGTGAACAAACTGACTGTAAGCAATTTATCTTGAAGGTTCTACTAGGTGCCTCAAGTTTAATTTCAAATTAATTGTAGCTCCTAAACTGTGGAATTCTCCATCTGTCACTTGATGATGATGAACTTAGGAAGATGGCTCATTTCAAGTGGGCAATACTAGACAGTTATTTATTCCAGTGTCCCAATTCTCCCACTTCCCTTAAGCAACTACTATTTTGAAATCTAAGGCAGGCCAAGAAAGTCATAAGACGGTGATGCAAAAACGGGGCAAGAGGGGGAGTCTCAGAGACCACCCTCAAAAAAAAAAATAAAATAAAACTAGTTCTGGGTACATGTGGCAACAGAGACAGTTTGTGGCAGACCGTTCCTCCCAGGTCTCCGGATCTACCGAGCCCGGGCGGATCAAGGGCTGCGGCGAGCCGGCCAGACAAGCAGGCAGTCAGAGCCGGCCAGTGGTGCGGCTCCGCTCACCAGGAAGGAATGCAGACCACACCTACGCGCCCCGCCGACCCAGGGCGGGGCGGCCGGGACCGGGCCGTGGGTGCGAGGGAGGGAAGCAGGAAAGGCGGAGGAAGGAAGCGGGGCTGCGGGATGCAAACGACCTCCCGCGCGCGGCCCCAGGCCCACCTCAGGAGCGTCTCCAGCGCGCCCTCGTGCTTGTCCAGCGGGCGGCCGAGCGCGGCGCGGCGCAGCTTGCTGAGCTCCTCCGCCGCGCGGCAGTACTGGGCCTGCTCCTCCCCGGGGCTTGGGTACGTCTGCTGGATGAACTTCACCAGCGGCTTGGCCAGGTCCACCTCCGAGGTCTTTTTCAGCTGTACCGAGATGAACGTCGCCATGGCGAGCACCTCGATCGCCTTCCGGCCAAATAAACTGCGGGACAGCGACGAGGCGGAGGAGCGCGGGACACCGGGCTGGCAGACTGGCGGACCCACCGGCCGACGGACGTGCGCTCGGCCTGCGATTCGGGTCCGGCCACTTCCGGGAGCCTCCGCGCAGGCGCCCTCGGCGCGCCGCCCGGTGTCACGTGAGTGTTTCGGGGTGGTGGCTCAGCTCACCTGGGCCCTGCTGGGCCTGGGCTGCGCGTTGAGGTCCTGGCTTTCTTCGCTGGTGGCATTCTCCCCTTCCTCCTTCCTGCCGCGACGGGTGGACAGACACTTTCAAGTAAAAGTAACCATTGCTCCACTCGGAAAGCTCGGTGAGGTACCCCTGTTGTGTGCCACCCACGAGAGTTTCCGGGGACCCTCTGCAAGACCTTACAGCCTCAGGGTTATTGTGACCTATGGTAGTTCGTTCAGTGGACTGCTGTGTACAAGTACTGAGTGCATAGTAAGCTTAGAAGGCAAGGCCCCTACCACGGTGCAAGTTTACACTTCAGGTAAGAGTACAGATACTAAAAAAGCATCATAGTACAAAAAGCAGAGTTCTTGAGATGTAGGATATTACGGTCCCTTGGAAGAACCCAATTTAAACAGGATAATTAAAGAAGTCTTCTGAGAAGGTAAACTTAAAATGACTTTGAGTTTGAAAACAACACTTGCTATTAGAAGAAGGAAAGAGTGGCAAGGAAGAGCCTCCCAGAGCAAGGGGCAGCGAGTGCGAAAGCCCTAGGAGGCAGCACTTCCCATGGTCAGGATGTTAAAGCAAACAGTGTGGCAAAACATTAAAAAGCAAGTGAAGAATGGAAGAAAATAAAGTAGGAAAAGTAAGCAAGCATCAAATCAATCAGAACCTTATATGCCAAGTTAAAGAATGTGTATTGTAGAATAAAGCAAAGGAAACTGTAAATGGCATTTAAGCAATAATGACATTATACAATTAATTTGGAAAGGCCACCCTGTGCAAAATCTGATATTGTATCTCTTGATAAGATGTAGTATGAAGTATACAATATCGTCTATGATATGTTCCAGGCAAAAATGTTTAACTTGAATCTATCCCAACCTTTGCATCTAACACAATTTATAGGAAATACAGGGGATAGAGGAGCAAACTAAATGATATCATAGGAAGTAACCAAACAAATCCAGAAGGTGAAACATCCTGCAGGCTAACTGGCCACATCTCTTCAACAACTTATTGTTATGAAAAAAGCCACTGCTCTATGAAAAGAATTTTAAGGAACGTAAGAGTCTAGATTGAATCCTGGTTTGAACAGACCACCTATAAAATGCATTTTCAAGACAGTTGAGGAAATTTGAATGTAGGTGGACTGAGTATAAAATGAAAATGTATTGCCATGGATGGTGGAGATCATTAACTGAAAAGAGCAAGTCTCAGAACAGCATATATGTTACAATATCTCATTTTGGTTACAAAATGCACATACGTGCTTTTATGCACTATGAAAAGAAGATCTAGAAGGATTATACACTAAGGGTGTTAGCAGTTGTAATCTTTGGAAGTGGAAATGTATATTTTTATTTCCTTTATGTTTGTCTATCTTTTTATGTAATTTTTACAACATACTACTTTTATTATAAAAGTATTTTACCACAATTTTTAAAAATTTGTTTTAATTAAAATATTCTAGATTAAGGTAAAATAGCTATTCTGGCTGCTATGTAGAGAATGCATTAGAGGAAGGCAAGATGGAAGCTGGGAGACAAATCGTGAAAGCATTCTGAAATCCAGGCAAGAGATCGTGAAAGCTAACATTAGCAGGAGTGAGCCAAGTTGATATGTTTTTTAGTTAGGCATTGAAGAATTTACTGATAAACAGGAAAGGAAGGTGAAGAAAAGGAAGTGATCAAGGATGACTCCTCGTGTTCAGGCTGAACATCTGAGTGGTTGGTGGAATAATTTAGGGATACTATAAGGAAAACTGATGGGGCAGGGGATAGAGAGTATTTATACCCAAGCTTTCAGATGGAGTCATTAAATTGACGGATGGGCATATGAGATGAGCACTTCAAGAGGAGGTCTTGTTTGGGAATAAACAGCATACAAATTATTTTTAAGCGTCTGGGGCTATAAAGGAACACAATGAAATAGAAATAGGTCAAAATATATATCCGGAAATAGAGTATCAGATTCAGTGTCTTAAGACAGAAGAAAATAGAGTATCCTGTGGGTTGGTTGACTGGACTGATCCACAGGGGAGAGAATGAAGATTCAGAAGAGCTGAGGGTAGCCAAAGGAGCAAAGCGCATGGTAAAAGGAGAGGAAAGGGTAAGCAGAACAGGGAGGGGACAAGGGGAGGGGTTAACTGTCAGAAAGATGAGAATTTTGTTAATTGTTGAGGCAGATGGAGGGGAAAAGCAAGTGAACATAGATGTGATTAATTTTGTGGCATCCATCAACAGAAGATTAAGACGGTCCTGTCTGATGGACCTTAGAAAAAAATACGAACTCCTTAACATAGCATGATCTATCTCTGCATAGCTCTTCAACTTCATGTTTCTCCACTTGTTCCGCATTTATTACTGCCCAGTCATATGGGTCTTATTTTAGTTTTTCAAACTCACGAAGATCTTTCTTTGCTCATATGACCAAAGATACTTCCCCCTTCAGAGTTCTGTTGAACTGTCTGCTCCCCAGATACCATCTGCAGTAGATTCCCCACTTGTTAAGATCTAGCTCAGCCACTGTTTATTTCCTTCATCACACTTATCCTAACTTACAAGTATTTCGTTGATTCAATTTTTCTCTGACTTTCCCACTAGAATATAAGCTCCATGGAGGCAAAAACTGTGTGTGTTACATATACTGTTATATTTCCAGTGCTTCGCACATTCTAAGCGCTCAGCCAATATTTTTGAATTGAGTTATTGAGCTTCACTACTTGTTAAGAGAATTAGATTTCTACTATCAAAATAACACACCTTCCCCTATAATTGGTACCTTTGTTGATTAGGCATGGGCCAGTGGCCAAAAGAGGATGGTATATTATGATAGGCTGGCTCATGCTCTCATAATAAACAATTTCAAAATCTCAACGTCTTAAGATAATAAACATTTGTTTCTTGCTCACACAAAGCCTCGTGGACAGGCGGCTGTCCAGGTTAGCTGTCCTCCAAGTGATGTCTCAATAATCAGACTAGTTTGATCTTGTAGCTTAGGCATCCCAATGTGACACTCCACGTTCAGAGGGGAAGAGAGAACCTGTAGCGCCTCCCAGCGGCTTTTCACTGCACCAACCTTCTCACATCCACTCACATTTCACTGGCTAGACCTCTCACCTAGCCCTGTAAAACTGCAGTGGAACTGGGAAGGGTGGTTTTCTGTACCCCTGGGAAGGAAGGGAGAACTGGATGTTGGGGAGCATTAGTGATACATTCCAAGGATGTTTCGCAGCTTCCAAACTTGCGTCGAGTAACATTGATTCTCCATCTGTGTATTGAAACTTCATAAAATATGTTCTTAGACTGTATTCTCAGTGTAATATTTTGGTGGATATTAAATCCGTCGATTTTCCTCCCCGATGATCCCTATCTGATGGGCCCAACCTTACCCCCACTGATTGAACCAGTGGAAATAAAATTGTCTCTTTAGAAAGACTGAACCCTGCTGATAACAGCTTTGAGTTTCCAAATAGAGCTCTCCAAGTCTATGTTGAGACAACAGCCTGAACGTAAGCACTTGTGATTTTTGGAGGAGCCAATCTTTCCTGAGGAGAAAAGAGGCTTACAAAAGCAAAGTCCAGAAGACTATCGTAGTTTTTCAGTGAATGAGAGAGTAAATAGGACAAGGATTTGATATAAGGAAAGTTCCTGTAATGCAAGGAAGAGAAGGCCCTTTGGATGCTAAGAGGAAGAGTCTGAGAGAAAGCGAAGGGCAAACGGTAAAGGAGGCATCCTCACTTGCTTACTCCACACTTTCAGGGTAAACCTAGAATGTTGGGCGGGTGGGGTGCAGGGGACAACCTAGGGGGATAGAGGTATGGATGAGGTAACACTCAAATAGACTTGATGAAATCAAGAACATCAATGATGTACCTACCCTATGTAACCTGGGGAGATACAGCCTATGTAAGGAACGGAAACAGGGGAGTGGTGTTAGGCAGAGACGCTGGTTTGTTGTTGTTTTTTACAACATGTAATAGAGAACTCTTTGTCTCTTAATCTGTTTGCATATTTAACTTTTTAAAAAACAAAACAAGAAATGAATGCAAAAAGAGAAAATTACCCATTTTTTACATATGGGTATATAGATTTTGTCCACATGGCATCAAAAATTTTGAAGAGAAATAGGGAAACTAATTAAGCCTTTTATTTAGAATTACTCCCTATATAAGCTCATTCTCATCCCATTTACTGCTGATCATATTTCCATCAGTTGCCAGCTCTCTAATACCATTCACAGCTATTTAAATAACTACTGCCCTTTTCCACCAGTGTCTCTCCTAGAGAGCACCTATGGCTGGCTCCTATGTTCTTTTTCCTCCGACATTTTAAAATTTTCAACACAGCATAGAATTTTATACTGAATACCTACATACCTACCACTAGATTCTAATATTAATATTTTAGTATCACACATATCTATTTTTATAGCATATCTATCATCCCACTACACATCCATCCATTAATCTGCCTTTCTTTTTGGATCCATTTCACAGTACATTGCAAGTATCAGAAAGGAATAATAGAATAAGTAACTTGATTGGTGAATTAAATAATAGATGGGAGTCAAAAGATATTATTTAAATGATATCAAAAAATGTTATTTAAAGGTGACAAATCAAATGACAGAAAAACGGGGCCAAATTAAGAAAAAGGTATTAGTATAAAGGTAACCATTGAAGCAAAAATACAAACGTTCCTAAACACTAAAAGAAAATTAAAAAGAGCAAACAGACCACATGGAGAAAAACAATAAAAATAACAATACACTCAATAAATATAGCACAGAATGATTTCACAAAATTGGGATCAAACATAGCCATCATATAATAAGTGTTTAAATATAAATAAATGTTAAACCAATCACCAAAAGAAAAACACTTAGATTGACTCACAAAGAAAACCCAAATGTGATAGATTATAAAATA